ATAATTTCATAAAATCTAGGCCTCAACCAGCCTTAGGGCAGGGCAGAGACCTGGCACCCACCACTTGTTGAGAATTACAAAGCGTATGAAAATGATTAATTTTAAGCTATTAACAAAGCAACTGAATTAGAGATACATTGAATGAAATAAAATTCAAATATCGTTTAATTTAAATCTGAAACAGCTTAAGAAATAAATTTAATTTTTGGAGGAAATTACGTCATTGTCCAGGGGTGCCAAATGTCTAAAACTTGCACTGCTATCAACCCCCACTATCTCAGAAGATTTATCAATGGGCATAATCATAATCAACAATTACAATTGTAATGACATAGTCGTGTCACATTTTTTCAATATTTATAGCGCTATTGAATCAATTCCAATTTTGCCCATCTCTGATGGTAAAATAGGTGTTGTACTCATCATATGCATTCAACGATGAGATTTAAAAAACATTGTTTAAAAACTTATATAACAACTCACTGCTGTATGTATATTACCTAACTCAGTTCACAGCCTCTTAATTATTGACAATTGCATTAATTTTAATTGTTAAATGGAATTTGAAGAAATTAACACTATTCTTCTCCAAATGTGGTTCTAATTGAACAAATCTTTTTTTGAAATTGGGCTTATTAAGGAAAATACATTTGCACATCCATAAGAGAAACTAGATATGACAGATAAATTTGATATGGAACTATTTAAGTACTTATGCCACAATCTCTTAAAATTTCTTAAACACCAGATTAATTATAATAGTTGATATGTCTGTCACACACATCAGAAATCTGCCTCTGCAGAAAGATAGATACAGATCCAATTTTTTTTCTTTATGTCTAAAATGTAAACTTAATTGGATAGTTTTGATTCTTAGGGGAAAAAAATTCCTTATGAATACAAACCTTACCTGCTTTCAGTAGTGAGGAAGTAATATTATTTAGACCTCTACTATCTTGTGACCAACACTTGATTTGAACCAACACCATATTGATAATTGTATAATTGGAGAAACAAAATAGGATTTTTTTAAAATCGAGATTGCTTAATATTTGTGGGACTACCATGCTACTTGGTCCTGAAATGCTGGCATTTTCTAGGCTTTAGAACAGTCTCCATAACAGATAAATTGGTTGTTAATCGCAACAAGAAAAAGGAGTCAGTACTTGTATTTTTATTTATTTATTTTCTATCTCAAGAAGCTTAGTGAATCATATCAAACATTCTGAAAGAAACGGAAACAAATTACATTATTTTGATTTGATCTATTTAACTTTCTAATAACGTTCTGATGTTGCTGTAAAAAAATCAAAACCTTAAACAATCTTGATCAAAAATTTTTTTGTTTTATCTTTCGTTGGAAGTAGCCATCCTACAAAACTTCACAAGAATTAATATTCATATTGAACAATGGTGAGAATCGAGTTAAGTTGTAACACAGTATACTTTTCTGGAATCAAATCCTGGGTTAACTGCAATAGCAAGTTTCTAATCGCAACACTGAGCTCATTGATAATATGAAAGTCCATCAGATGTTCCTTTATTCATCAGTTTTATCTTAGAAGGCTCAGCAGTTCGATATTGATCAAATTATAATCTATATAATAATATAAATTATAATCTGGATTGAACAAATTATAATCTCAGTGTTCTTTCTCAACTTACTTTAAATATTTATTTTCAGTTTAATTTCTGTTTTGAAATTCAAGAATTTAATAGATAGGTATTTCCTTTTATATATATTTGTCTTGTGTTCTGTAACCTTCTAGGAGTGTTAACATTTTCCTGGTATCCAGCAGTTCATTCCTAAACCCAGCTTAAATTGCTGTCCTTCAGTGTTGCAATCAATTGAATGATGGATTCCAACAATGGAATTAGTGTGATTATAGAAACTTAATAGAAAGGTCTCACTTGGTTCCTTAAGAATAAAAAATGAAGAGAAGACATTGCCGTTCAAAAACTACATTAATAAAATACAATCAGTATATACATTTTCAATGTTGAAATATATAAACATGAAAAAAGTATATAATCTCGAAAATGAATATGATTGTCTTGAATAAAAAAAAAATCAAATCAAAAAAGAGAGGGAGGGAGGGCCCTCCCTAAACATGTACCTCACTCCCTAGATTTTTATTTTTTTTTTCAATATAACTTATCCACGATTGATTTGATTATCATATATGCTCACATCAGCAACTTGCTAAAGTGTATATGAAGATTACCTACTAAAAAGTCGTAAAATACCCAATTTTTTTGAGAAAAAAAATTGATTATCCATATATAATTGTGTAGCTGTTGGTAATTAAAAAAATATAATCTAAGTGAGTGAATTAGTGAACGGGCGGATCTACGGGGAGGCTTTGGGCTGAAGCTCCCCCTCCCTCCCCGAAAATGGTAAAGTATAACCATGTTTTATGGAAAACATATTTAAAAAATATCTCTTAAAGTACTATTGTTCCTGTAATTACATTTAAAAGGACTTCAGGAATCACTTAAACACCATTTCACATAGGTAGTTAATTTCTTTCTTTTTTTCCAAAGTAATTATCGTTATTTTTATGAGAAAAAAAATTTCGGGCTGAAGCCTTCTCCCCCCCCCAAATTAAATCCTGGATCTGCTAGTGAACTAGTGTAGAAAGAAATACTCATATAAACAATTCTGAACAGTAATAGCTAGAATCGATATTAATGACGATTATCGATTATTTCGTTATTCATTTTGTATGAATTTGTATACGTAATTTATTAAATATACAAAAATTATTTTAAATAATTCAGAATGTAATCCTAAGAAAATAACAAATCTTTGACAAAAAAAATCTATTGAAAAAACATATCTTTTTAATTGTAATATTCGTTACGTAATAAGATAGTTCTAAAAATGCTTAGTTGTTTAGCACTACAGGTTTCTTCAAAATAGTTTTTTCCAGCTTGTTCTCTAAGTTAATTAATTTTAAGTTATCCTAAAATTCTGCATGTATGTATTTGTCATTATTTCCGTATTCTTAGTATCTTCATTTTGTAAAGCAGGGGTATTTCAGATGTCATCAATCAGATCAACGTGAGTTAAGGAATATTAAGTTAAGTTAGTTCAGCGCTGACTTTTGGAACAGACTGAATCTATTTCCGATATCCTTCAAGGAGCTCAGCGCTGACACGCCCATGTTTGTATTTTAATTAAATTAGTGAATATCTTACTTTACTTTAAAGGCGTTCTATGCCTCACATAGTCAGCGTAGAGCTCTATCTCGCCAATCATCTGCCTCCAGACCTCGACCTGCCATTTCCTCCTGGACCCCTTCCATCCACCTGCTTCTGGGCCGTCCACGTCCTATCTTCCCTGGCGGAACCCAATCCTGGACTCGGCTCGATCAACGTTCCTCCGTCATGCCCATACCATCTTAGGCAGCGTGCCTGGATCCTTTCATTAACCGCTGTACCCACATCCATTCTCTGTCGCACTACCTTATTCTTAATTTTATCCAGTCTGGTAAGACGGGGACACCTTCTACAGTAATCCATTTGTACGTATTCTACGCTTGTTCTCGGTGGAAAACTGTGTGTTCCAGAGAACTGGATGTAGGATTAGGATAGCCTTAAGGGCTTGCTTCACCTATCTCCTGACGTCATGCTCAGAAGACCCTGTAGCGTCGAGATAAGAGCCCAGTGTATATCAATAGTTTAATAAAAATCTGGCGTGTCCATATCGATCCAATATAGGCGATCTCTGTAATGTAAAGAAATTCGTACAACTTCTCTTAGAAACATTGGGTCAGAACATACTTTTCTTATCTAGTAGTAAAAAAACTTTTTCCGAACTGCGGAAGGGAATATTTTGTATCGAAGTTCTCAAAAGCACTAGCAGATATAGGGTTTAATTTTGGGGAGGACTTCAGCCCGAAAGCTTTGTTTTTCATATGTATAATAATAATTACTTAGGGGAAAAAAAGAGAGGAACTATCTACCTAAATAAAATGGTGTTCAAGTGATTCTTGAAGTCCTATTAAATGTAATTACACGAATAATAATACTTTACGAGATAATTTTTTACGATAAAACATGGTTACATTTTACCGTTTTGGGGAGGCTTCGGCCAAAAGCCTCTTCCCCTCGTAGATCATCCTGTGCTGGAAAGAAAATGATATAAATATGCCATGTTTTGTTAAGTTCTAATTACTAATATGGAAGCAATACAACAACTTTCCTAGAAAAACAATTACAGTCTGTTATACTGCAGGATTTATTTTATTTTTTATAGTAAAATTAACGACATTTTGCTATTGGTTTGCTTATTTTATATTGGAAAAGGAGAGCTTGAAGAAGAAAAGTCTGTTTTATTAAACTTTTCAAGATTAGGAAATCCAACAAGAGCGATTAGTTCGTTTCAGTGATTCTTTGGATTTCGTTGAATTGGCGAACTATCGATTCTAGATCAGCCACAATTAGAGCCGTATCTTATCCCTAATTGCAATGTGGCCTATCAAATGTTTATTTGAACATGATATGAAGCACTTTTGATATGACATCCTCCGTTCTCTTCACTTCTAGCCATTATACAAATTTTAAACTTCTAACCTGAATTAATTTTCATATAAAAGAAAAAAAAAACGAACACTGATTTACATGTTAATATGAGAATGAGTCATTTGACAACTGATATGCCAGCGTTGAAGGAAACTATAACAGATCTTGTTAGATACTAGACCGCCCTAAAAAATTATCAGTTTGAGTGTTTGTCTTTCAACAACTCCTTAACACCGGGAAGCTAATACCATAAAACCTCTCACCTAATTTAATTATATGGGACATCTATATTCTATATTTTTTTCATTTATGCTGTTTTTAAATTTTATTAAGTGTAAGTATACTTCTGGTATCTTAGATGAGTTATGATTACAAAGCAGATATTTTAAATTGTATTGATGTGTGTTGACAATCCAATGTTTTTAACTATTTTCATTCCAAAATAGGATTCAAAGAATCTTAAGATTGAGAAAATGACAGAAGATAGAGTTTTAGAAGGTTTAGATCCTGATGGGTTTGTGTTTATTATTACCTTAATTGTGTTTATGTACCACTTATTTATTAGTTACTAACATATGAAATTTCAGTTCAAAAGAAGAAGACGAATCATCTTACTTTAAATCAAATCGATATGATCGTTCTTATCACTATGTACCTGGACATGGATTTTCTAGATATAACACTGCCCTCAAGAATCTTATGCCCGTCAGGAAAAAAAATAAGTGAGTTCTGTTATCTATTTAAGTTCATTGATTAACTTCAATGCTCTAAATGAGTTTGTTAAATATTCCATTGTTGAAATATATACATTAATGATATAATTTATATTTTTTCATTAAAGGTAATAATGGTAAATTTGTTATCGATACCAGTATTTTCTAATTAGTTTTGTAAATTTTAAACAACTCAATCTCTGTTAATGATTTAGATTAAAATTCTTTCATGAACAAAATCTTTGTTTTCTTCATATTTAGGGCAAATATTACATTTTATACAAAGTATTGTTCCAGTTTTGTGGTTATGTAATAAATTCTTTTGTGGAATACTTTTAATTTTCTCACAAAAGAAAATCATTTCAATCATTATTCAAATTTATTTCATTTCAGTTTATTTAATTCATATAAAGTTTTAGATTCGATTCATGTAATGCCATTTTTATTGCTATTAATACAATTAAGTTTATTTACTTAATTGGGTTAGTTTAATTACATAACTAAGTTTATTTTTTTCACTGTAGGAGCAAAAAAATAATATTGAAGTATGATTATCTTGCTTTATGTGGAAATATAAAGATTTAAAAAAAGAGATTTAGGTGACCCCATCAGAAAGTTTTTCTGCTTGTTATTTTTTAAGGGAAAAATATTTCTATTAGGATGTACCCTTTTTCTAGTTTTATCTTTTTAAAAATAAATCAATTTTCTCAGTTGGCAATCAGTAATCCAGATATCCCTTAAAACATTGCTCTCCTTCCTGTTCCACTCCATAATTTTACCACTTAAATAGATTTGTGACCGTTCTACTGCTAAAGTTATCCAGTTTGAAAACAATACCCTAATCATTCCCCAATATATGCAACTTCTTTCCCCTGACTTTTTGATACCCCCTATCCAAAACATTAATAAAACAAGAATTCTTGGATTTTTAAAGCTTTGTGGCGACAGTTCCATATGCCTTCAAACTAGGCTGATTGATGTCAGTTGAACTTTAGTCCATTGATTATATTTGAAAGTGATAAGAGGAAAAATATTATTCTTTTTTAATTCATTTTTCTGTCCATGCTTTTATTATTTAGTAGTGATAAGTGTTATCTTGCAACTTTTATCAGTAAGTTATAACTGTGTGAGAAGAAACGAGACTACCAAGTGCCATGTATTTTATTTTTACCAATTGCCATGTATTTTATTTTTATTATCTGATAGTCAGTAAAGTTTTTATTTGAATTCCTCTCTCCCTTAGCCTGCATTGAAAGTTGCAGAACCAGATGAAAGAATTTATTTAAGATAATGAAATTTCTATGAATTATTTATACTCACCAAGAGGGTTATACAATTATTTTTATTTATTGTTTATGTAATAATGGAACAATAAATGAATTAACCAATTTGCTTAGTTGCCAATATAATCTTTGTGATGTTATTGGTTCATTCAATAAGCCTGAATGTTACGTAGTCGACAATATATGATGAAGAATTTCGACTGCAGGTTATTATTTTTCTCTCTTACCTTGAAAAATTATTTATCCACTGGAAATGTAGTTTACTATAATAAATGAATATCTAACAAAGAAGACATGGCTGTGCGATGCCTGTTTGTTCTCCTCATTAGGTCTGCAATCTCAAAGGAGGAGTTGATCAAAATTAGGAAAATTGTCGAACCAATCAGATCAAATTTGATATTGACTATGAATTCTTCCCATAAATGGGAAGAAATTTCTAGTATCTTGCCAAATCGATCAAATATATTGTTTGTTTTATTTCTTTATTTTTAGAAATAATACTCACCTTGGTGTCGATGAAGCTGGACTTTGGCAGTTCATCACTTACAACTGGCTGACTAAATATATGAGGCAATCGTACAAGAGAGGTCTCACCGTCGATGATATACCGAACCCTTGTCCGCAAGATTCTTGTGCGTATAATACTCAAAGGTACGAATATTTCCATCAGTTTAAGAATAAATAAGATAGAACTGTCTTAGAAAAGTTTAGCCCATCTTTTAATGAACTTTAATCATAGAAGGAAGTTAGTCGACTGTTCTATATATCATGGGTGATAAATATTCAGGACGCAGTAATTATAAGGTTTTTATTAGTACTGATGTTCAAGTTCTTGAATATCTTCAGTGCTCGAACCACACTCTGATAATGACCCACATGTTTGGGTTGAAACGTCGGCACTAATAAAAACCATATAATGACTGTGTCCTTAATATTTATCATTCCAACTTTGATTACAGATTTTACTTTTAGTTTCCTACTTATGATGTATGTAGTAAAGGAAAATATTATAATTTTGAAAAATTTCTAATCTTAGTTTTGACCAGAAATACATGTTTTAGTTTCTCTGAGTTGATTCAACCAAGTCTCACAAAATGGTCTGTTTGTGTGTGTCAGCATTCGTGTACAACCTAGTTAAAAAGTTATGTCTTAAGAAACTAAAATTACATAGTTAAGACATATTTTCATCAAAATAAACTAGATTCAACATTTACTTTTTTATATGACTACAATGAAAATGAGTTCTAGTAGGTGTTTTTAGAAAAATTACATAGAGATTCAAAATTTAACAGTGATTGGATTGGTTGCATTTCCAAGATATATCTTGCATTAGGAAATAGACTGCTGACCAACTTAAAAGGGAGTGAAGGGGGCACCTGGTAAAATAATATTGCTTTGGCTACAACAATAGTACTTATATCATTATCATTGAGGTTATTAACCTGTCTATATAGATGATAGTGGTACTTGAAGAGTAATCACTATCGATTGCATAATAGCTGACCTCAAGTCATTGCTGCAATGGTTCTCTTAGGTCTCATCGAGTCTGCTAGCCAAAAGTCAAGTTCTCATTTCCACAACGTCCAAGTGTCGCTTATTTTTACTTTTCCGTTGCTACGTTTGGTTATTCTTTACCCTTTAGCTGTAGCCAGGCATTGATTTTTCATTTGTTTCTTGAAGGGTCGATTTTAATTGGTTCAGGAAGCTACAATACGTTTCCTTGCTCCAATGAGAAGGATATTCAGTATCCTTACTGCTTCCAAAATATTTACTAACTATTATACCCCAGCGAGAGCTCTCAGATTGGATAGCTTTTCTTCTCCCCAATGCATCCGACATATAAGTGACATCAGCTAAATACGTTTATTTGTATATATGATGTCATCAAGCTAGTCTTTATTTTTTATATTGTATTATTATATTATCAATACATTAATATAGTCCTATTAATATCAGTTTATTAATAATATGTAATCGATTTGATATCTTACCATGACTATTAAAGTAACTATTTGCTTTACTTAATAAGTGATTAGCTTGTCCGACTGGAAAATATCTCTCTAGTTTAATAGTTGAGCAATAACAGAGAGCGAGAGCTATCCTTCAACTTATACTGGTTATTACTGAGAGTATAGAAGCCATAGATGGGTAAATCAAGGTATCATGGAGCTATTTTTCTCCTTTTACCTTTTCAATAGATTTTTAATTTGTGGAAGAGTATCATTAATAGCAATATTTTAATTTTTAAAACCTAATTAAATATCCACTGGCAGCTATGCCATCTAAGAGCTTTTCTGCAATAATTATGATTAATATCGAAAACTGCTGTACACTTTTGAGCTTTAAAATGCAAAGCCTGGTATAATTTCAATGGAACTATTACAGGCCTTGATGTCCCTGTCTAAATCTTTCAATCTTAATTTATTCTGTCTTGATCTGTCAACTTTTGAAAGCATAATTCTCTTTCATTTGATATTTGTCTATCAAAATCCATCGTTCCTCAGAGCCTGAAAAGGAATCTGTACTACTCTATTACATAAAATATAGATTCAATCTTTCTCTCCGAGACCTTCGATGTTTCCAGAAGACCAAGCATCTGTCATTGTCAACTTCATGGAATTGGTGAGGTTTCTGAAGGACCAACCACGCTTCGCTAATCTGTGATTGTCAACTTCATGTAATTGCTGCCGTTTTATCCAAGCTGTCCTCTCGGTAATAATAGATACACTTAGCATATTGGGAGTCAATTTAAAAATCTTCCCATCGTAGCCACAAATCCTTGCCTTAAATATCATGCTATTTGATAGATGGCGTATGTTGTGTAGTAGCATAGTTTGGTCGGTCGTGATGACAGTTATTCTAGACTTTTGTTGCTTGCAGGTAACTGCAGGTAACTCCTTGGGATGAGGCCTATGTGATAAGTAAGTATCTCTCAGGTGGACATTCGTCGCTTCCACATTTCGTATTTATTTTAGTTTTTGTTTAATTTTAGGCTGGAAGCGCTCTGGCAGGATGAGCTGACGAGGAAGGGGCCTCAAAGCGCCTCATTGAACTGCGTCACCTGGAGGTTCATGAGAACGAGAGCTATAGTTTCTTCTATTTTGATTATGTTGTGTGTTATCTTAGGATTTATTAGTGTTGTAAGTATTCACTTATAATGTTTGAAATTTACATTATGCATATTAATATACTATAGAAGAAATAAGAGTTAGTGAGATGGGACTGACAATGCTCGGGAATGGCCAATTGCTTACAAAAGTGCGTAGCATGCGTGTCACTTAGTTTTTCATCCCTTAATGTAGCAGCCACGTTTTTCATCTCTTGATGTAAGCAGCCACGTTTTGCATCTATAAAGAACCTAGGAAGGATAATGGTTTTGTAAATTCTGATTTTTAAGTTTCGGAACAGCAGCCGCGAGCTAAGTTGTTTCGCAACTGAAAAAGAGCAAGCATTTCCCACTTTTAACCTATCCTTAACTTCCTTTTCAATTTTGTTTTTCCTTGTTATCGTAGACTCCAAATACCTAAACATTGCTACCTGCTCAAATGTATTTCCTTCAAAATCTATATCTCCTAAATCGTAGCTATTTTTACTGCTAATGATATATTTTGTCTTGTCTATATTTATTTTTTCAAGTATATTTGTGAATATCCTTATGTTTAAACATATTACTTTTGTTTTTCGAGATTGCAAAATTTATTAGCTGAATTCCATTATAATTACTATAGTTGTGTAACCTTTCTTCACTGATCGTTGGAAAATAAACTTCTTCCCTTTCCACCTTTGTGTTAGCACCTCCTACAATTTCATGCAGCTTTGCGGTAATTTGTCATAAACCTATTCCAGTTTATGATAAAATATGCATTTGGCTTCATCTTCACTGCCTTCGGTTGGACAATGTATGTTTATGAACGCGAATTTAAACCAATGCCCATGGAATATGACCACTGAAATCCTATCGATAAAGAATTGTATATCCCTCAAGGCGGATAGAAATCTATTCCTAATAAGAAAACTGGTGTGATACAGTGGTTTCCTAAACTGTGATTTCCTTTCCTCTCCCGTCCCTTATGGATCCCTCCCCTGGCCAATGAACCTCTTGCAATGCCACGATATCTACATTGTACCCATTAACCTAATTTGCGACTGATTTGATAACACCTGCTGTATTTAAACTTCTTACGTTCTATGTCCCAATACTTAATCTCTAGTTTTCAATTTGAATCCTCAACAACTTGAACGCAGTAATGAGCCCGCTAGAGGAAATCGAACCCTTGGGCCTATAAATTTATTTATGATAGAAAAGTCCTCAGTGGCTTAAACTGGACAAACACTAAGAAATTGAGTGTGAACTACACTCCTATCTGTGGATTATCAGGGACCAGAAACCAAGCCAACAGAAATGTTGGATCCCTCTGCCATAAATGTGATCAAGAGTCAGAAACTCCAGCTCATGTTTTGGGCAAATATCCGAATAACATGCTCCTTATAACACACCAGCACATTAATATAAAGAAAGAGATATCCAAACTCCCCTAAAAATCAGGATGTGTCCTCGAAGTCTATTGTCTCGATACATAAGACTCTGCAAGATTCGTATACATTTTAGTGTTTAATGAATCCTCCATCACCACATGTATTGATGTTTGCCTTCACTTATTCACCTCTGTACACTGTTTTTGAACATATTAGTCAAAGGGTCCCAACTAACTCTTTTGTTTTAGTTTTCAATAATAATATTTCTTGGATTAATAAATATTCTGATACTGTATGAGTTAGCAACTCGACACGGTTGAGCAACCATGCAATATTATTGTAATATTGTTACTCTCTCTATTTATAATTTTTACTCTCACTACCCTAAATATGAAAATATCTATTTCTACTCAAAAAGTAGAGTGCTTAGTGGAAGTTGTGTGATCCGCACATCAAATTTTTTTTAATTGCTTTTACTAATTTAATTATACTCTTAAAACTATTTATTAAGAGACCATTTCTGTGCAATTAAAGGCAATTTGTTGTTTGTTTTTTGATATTTTCATGATAAAAAAATTGTTTTGATAACTTTGATATTGATCTTAATACCAAATTAATCACTAAAACTTAGAATTTGATGAATATTACTTAATAATATTACACAACTGTAATTATGATAGTCAGTATTGACTTGTGTCATTTGTTTTGTTTTTCTATTCAAGTTTATACAAAAAATATTTTTTTGTTTTTTTTTTAATGTGTCTTTATATCCTCAGGCATTTTTCATGAGATATTTATTGGAATACACAGAATCGGAGGAAAACTCATTTTGGATTGGTTTTAAATGGGCAGTACTTTTTACTTTGACAGAATTAATCAGGAACACCTTATATGCCATAGCTTGGACAACAAATTATCGGTAAGAAAGTTTTTTATTTCTAAATGCGATATGTTCTTTGATAAACCTCAACGTTTATCATAATTATTATCAATTATAAAATAGTATTCTGTAGAACCTTTTTATAACTAATATAACTTTTACTAATATATTTTATGTTTATAACGCTTAGTTTTGTAAAGAGGAGGCAAGTTGATTAGAAGCTTTGAATATTAAAAAGCCTTAGCTAATCTGAAGGTTCCATGTCGATATCACTGATTGCTGTCTGGATCTGATTTTGTTTTAAATTAAATTTAATACATTGCTGAAAAATATTTTGAATTTTATATTTGCTAGCCTCGAGGTGCTTCCGTTTGTCCACCCTCTGTCATTGGACATGGTAATATCGCTCTCTGTCCCCCGTTGAAGTGAAGATGGTGACTGGAACGATGTTTCAATGTTCATACTTTACTATCATTAAGGGAACAGTTTGTGTGTGCGCGTGCTTAGGAGCTGTATTTCATCAGAAACATATCTCTGCCTCTCCATCTTTCATGAATAATCCACTATTTCCCTTCCCTTAGCTTTGTTATTTTTTATTTATTTAATTTTTATATTACATTTATTATTGGAGTGCTTGGACTACAAAAGTTCATGTTAAACTGTTATTATTTTGATTGAAAAATATTTCATCATTAGATTTTATTTCTACGACTTGCCTTTTAAATTTATTGCCTCATTTTAATTTGATCATCATACTCTCTTATCGCTTATATATTTTTTGTATATATTTGAATACTTTTTGTGCCATATTATCAATTATTTAGACAATGTATCTGATTTTTGTTTTCAGAACTGCTATACGTTTAAGAGCCGGTTGCTTGGGAATGCTGTTTCGTAAAATTATGAGGGTTCATCATTTCGGTGATAAATCAGTAGGAGAGGTAATTGAATTTGATTTTATTAGAATTAGAATATTTATGACTATTGATATTTATTAAATACTTTATAAGTTATTTATGGAAATCAAATTTGTATCCCAAAATTTGATAGATGGAAAAAAAAATAAAGTTCCCAAAATATAATCGCAGTGGAGTAGCTAAGTGATTGAGGCTCTGGAATCCTATTCTCAGGCCCTTACATTGAAGACTGCCTGTGGCAGGTACTTATTCATTCTGTTTAGTCAACCATAGATTGACCCTTGGATTGGATGATCTTCCTGGGGTCGCATCATAACCAGCCTCCTTTTTTTATTTATTTCTTTTTATCCTTTCCTTTCGTCAGTGCAGGATTTGTTTCAGGCCAGAAGAGAACGCAGTAAATTAATTCCCAAGTTAAAAGTCCTCCTGGCACTGGGACGCAAACTTGTTAATATTTTATCATACTATCTTCAGTTTGCTGGGCATCGCGTGTTTTGTACTCATACTAGCTCGCTTGCCCACCCACCCTCTCATACCCAGACTCTACATAGTGGGTACTCTTGATTAATTGATTAAGAGAAAAAATCTGGCGATTGAACATGATCTCAGCTCAATAGCCTCTCTGCACAACCATTATCCTTCAAAAAGTACTTCCTAATCAAGTACTAAACTCCAAGAAACTTCATAGGTTGTAGTGGCACAGGTTTACCGTACTGGTGGTACCATATTAGAAATAAAAGCCATACTATGCTCAATGTAACGAGTATGCTTACACATGATTGATTTTTTTGTGTTAGGCGAATCTCTGTATTGAGACGCACAAAATAAAATTGGTAAGAAGAAATATAGTATACTAGGGATTGATCTATCTAATTTTGGGAATAATAAACAAACAAACCAAGTAAGTTACAACAAAAAATATTTTTTTGAAGCTTATATATTTCAGATAAAATTTTAGAAATTTACTAATAAAATTAAAACAAATTGTTAATAATTCCTTGGTGGTATAATGTAATTATATATTTTAATTATATTATAGCTTATAATTATAATATGTACTAATCATCAGAAAGTATGTAAAATTTGTTTTGTTTTTTGTTTTAAAAAAAAATCTTTCAAATAAACATCGGGCTGAAATGGTAAATAGCTTCATCTCATCGTAACCTTCAAATATTTTATTTGTGAAAATTCTCGGAATTTGGGTGTTTTCAATCTGGAGGTCGGCAAACTTTGTCTATTTAAGTAGGAACTAAAAATTTGTATATACCCATTTACTTTTCACTTTAATCATAAGATAACTTAAGCACAAAGTCGAGAAAAAAGGTGTCCTTCAGAAATATTGAGCCATTTAGCATGACCTACACCTCCAAATTGTCAAAATAACGAAGTTATTCAGGCCAAATGGCTCAATATTATTGAAGGCCACCATTTTCTCGACTTTGTGCTCAAGTTATCTTACGCACGCAATGGGCATTTACAAGTTTCTAGTTCCTAATTAAATAGACAAAGTTTGCCAACCTACAGATTGAAAATGTCCCAATTCCGAGAATTTTCCTGAATAAAATGTTTATAGGTTACGATAATATGAAGCTATTTGCGACGTTTCAACCGGATGTTAATTATTTGATAAAAAGTAGTCTGTACCACGGACTAATACTTTGTATGTGTTAATACAATATAACAATCTCATAGTTAGTTTCTTAGCTAATAGTAAAATTTTAACAAGTTTTCTTGTAGTTGGTAGTCAACGTGCTAATTATGTTGTTATATGGATTCACATTGTCCAAGGATTTATATTTATTATCACGTTTGTACTATTTATATATTTTATTCTTTTAGCTTATTAATATGTTTTCCAACGATGGTGTGAGGATTTATGATCTTGTCTTGTTTGGACCTATGATAGTCGCTGGCCCGATAAGTATGATACTTGGCATTGGGTACGTTTACTGGCTCCTCGGCCCATGGCCAGTTTTAGGCCTCTGTTCAATGTTTATATTTTATCCAACGCAGGTGAGTAATATTATTTGTTCTTATATATTATGAATGTTATATAAAATATATTATATATTAGTTTAAACTTATTTGAATTGATACACAATTTCTATTTACTTTTTTTGTCTGAACCAGAAGTCTCCAAACGATTTAAACTATGAGACTCCCCTTAAGTCACAGGGGCCATATTGTCGCCTCCAATAAGTTGCACGGGTCATGGATTGTGTCAAAATATACTGTAGTTGTGAAATGAGCTTTCTAAGAGAAATAGCATATGCAATAGAAGTTGTAGTAAACTTGTGTTTGATTGATTTATTGAATTTCACATTAAAAAAAAAAAAATTAATTTTTACAATGTATCCAAAGAAACTTCCGCGGGCTGGATCGGAGGCGTTTGTGGAGATGTGGGCCATACTTTTGAGACACCTAGTTTTAAACTATTATTGTGGAATTTGCGATCTCTTATCTTTTTCTGTTCTGATGATGCCTCAATTTGCAGAATGTTGAACGGTTAATATTTTATTGCTATTTGGGAGGCTTAAAGGTATCATTGCGCTGGTACTACCAACAGCAGTGCCATCGCTTAGTGCCCACCTTTTATGCTTGTATATTTCACTGAAACTGCTCACTCTAGCAGGTTAAATTAAGAGATTAGGTTATGTCTGTACTATAAAAAGTTACTATAAAAACAGCCTGCCCACCATCTAAATAATTTATGGTTTCTCTTAACATTTTGAATGGAAAATACCAGCCCCACGATAGAAAGAATATTATTAAAATATTATTTTTAGAATTGGTGGTGTGTTACTTCTGATTTTAAATTTATTACTTATTATTAATATGACCATTTCGGTAATAATTATCATATATTTGTAATGAAAATACAATGAATAATGTTTTATCTTTAGGCAATTAGGAAATCAGCATTTAAATTAAAAAATACACATAGAAATTTGAGTATTTACTTGAGTTTAATTTGTTTTATGCTCTTATTAAGTTTCTTCTTATAAGTATTGTTTCTTTGATTATGTTCTCAACTAATATTTTTATTCTCTTATTAATGGCCCATGTAATGTTTTTATTTATATATCATCTTCATTTGATTTAATTTATGATCATTCTTTATTGATTTGATTCAAAATGTTTAACTATGTATTTATTTTATTTTTTCAGTATTTTCTCTCTCGACTAAGTGGTTTCTTCAAAAGAAAAGTTTTCAGTTTGACTGATAAAAGATTGACTGTACTATCAGAGATATTGAACTCAATAAAGTTTATCAAATTATATTCATGGGCGAAGATATATATAAAAAAAATTTCAGGTGCTTTTGGTTTATTTTTCTTTTTATTATTTAGTTTGTGTTTTATGTTTTTTTTTAACTTTTATTGATAATTTTGTTTACAAACAATATTTTAAGTTTTTCTCAATTTAGTCTCCTGCCAGATTCTATTCTCAATACTGCCATGACTGAGCAGGATGTGCACTCAACTTTTGCACAGCGCATAGTCATAATGTATTTAACCAATCAAATTGTTAAAGTAAATTTAAATTTTATTTGTTTGTTGTCCACAGTTTGGGGGCACTGCATTTTTCCAGAATTAGGTGTATAAGTGGGTGTATAAGAGAATTTAAGGTGGACAAAAGTTAAAAACAAAAGTCATGGTTGACATCTGAGAATAACTTTCACATATGAAAACATTTATGCCATTGAGAACCTTATTGATTCATAGGTTCACTGTTGAAGAAATCTGAAGAGAAGTTTGAATTAGATGACATATCCTCATTGATCCCTGAAAACAGTATCCATTACAGATATATTTCTCCATAACATGGCTAGGTCTCGCACAATGATTGTGAGAAATGGGCTGGAAAACCCTGAAATACATCCTCCTTATAATTCCTTGCATTATTTTCGGTTGTGCCCTGAAATGTTTAACTAGAAAAATGGTTTGAAAGCAATTAAGAAGTCGAGAAGTATGTCTGGGATTGGTTGACAACTCATTCACACTCAATGAATGAACAACGATTATTCAGGGTTCCAAATCTCAAAAATATTTAGGTCATGCAATAGACTACATTGAGAAATTTATAATAATTAATTAATGTTTATATTTAATTCATCCTTATAAATTTAATAATTCTTTTATTTAACAATCATACATTTTAATATTTATGATTTTATATATTTTTCAGAAATTCGTAAAAAAGAACTTTCATTACTCCACAAAGTTTCTTATTGCAATAGTTTTTCTTCTTCGCTGTCAACAAATGCTCCGGTGGTTGCTGCGATTCTAACTTTTTTTATTCACATTTCAGTTACTGGAACGTTAACTGCTTCTCAGGTATTATGTGATTAATTATTGTAATTTTTCTCTGTTAAATTCAAATTCAAATTTGATTTTAAATGAAACCTTTTATAAAGAACTATTATTGAGAAACTATCATCTTAAAGAGGTGAAATGGGAAAAATAAAGAGAAGAATTCAGTGTTGGTAATTCTCAATTAAAATTTCTGATAATTTATTCTGAATGTTTAAAGAAATTTCTTAACTATAATTAATTGTTATAAAAGTGTAGATTACTTAGTAATATAATAGGTTCAACAGGAAAACTTTATTTAATAAAGAATTAATTTTTCATGTTTAAATATCAAGTATAATAAGTATATAAGAATAATTGAAGAGGAGAATGGTTGGGGTGATCAGTAGAAAAACAAACAAATTATTAAAATAAATAAGTATATTTATTTTTATTTTTATTTATACTTATAAATATACTTATTTATTTGAATAATTTGTTTGGTTTTTTTTACTGATCACCCCAACCATTCTTTTCTTCTATAATAACAACCATTTCTTATAAAATTAAAAAACAACCATTTCCTAAACACATTGTCAAATATTTAGTGAATGAATTGTTAAGAAATCAAGATTTTTTTTTATGTATGCTAAATGGATATCCTCGTTAATTGTATTTATACTGTAAAATTAATTCTTTAATTTTGAAATCATCCCATTTCACTCTCAGATCTTTCATTGTTTTTTCTCCCTGTTTACTTTTTATTAATGAATTTTAATGTTTATTATTTCTCTTTCGGTAATCATAGTACAGTGCAACTTTCTTTAATGGGCACTTCTCATAAAAGGACAACATTTTCTCTCAAGATTATTGGTTTTAAAACATTTGAAATTTCTAATAACTGCAGGCAGATGCTGATTTGGTACTTTTTCTTCAAATAAAACTTCTAATGGCAAGCATAAAATCCTTAATGATTAGCTCCAGGAACAGCCTGAATACTTTTGTTTGTAAATATTATGTTACGATGACCAAGCTAAGAAAGACTCTTGAAGTCTTCAGAAGGAAGTCTTGTGATTGATGAAATTCCTTTTTGATTAATCTGCTAAGCTCAAACCAATGTCATTCTGATATTAGGTCCATTATTTCCATATCATTTACAAGTTGCCTAAAATGTGAAGCATGATAATGATTCCAAATCTGGTTTAAGCTTTAATACATATTTGTAATTTTATTATGTTGTGTACATCATTTAGAAGTTTATTTTGTATTTAAGCATATATGCATAATATTTTTTATACGTTTTGTTCTTCACAATTCTCATAAGCAGACACTTCTATCAATCGAACTACATTTCTATTCCTAATGGAGTCTATTTAAGGAAAGTTGCACTGTATTCTGTAAAGTTGATATTCGTATAGAGTACTATACAATGATGGTATAGTAATTTATTTAACATTGATATTAAATCCTAATAGGTTTACAAACTTAACTATTAAATATTTTTATTGTAATGATAATTTGGATTTTTATATTACTACCTTCACCCTTCCAAACACTATTTTGTTGTTTCAAAAGTATTTTTCCATTTTAAATTATGTATTGTCATTCATATAAATCTTATTATTTATTAGGGAGTCTTTCTTGTCTAAAATTTTCTCTTTTTTTTAATTAAACAAGAAAACATATTTTTAATCATTTAAAATTTCATTATATAAGGCTATCCCACTGTTCTGATTTTTACTTACAAGCTGTGTCTAAGTGTAAAGATTATAATCTTAAAATTCCAATCTTTATTAAAATAAAATTATAATATTAACATTCACTAACCTAAGACAACAAGAAAACAAATATTTAATTTTTTATTGATATTAAAATTAGGTACTTAATAAATTAATGTGTGATATTTTCTTTAATTTTACCAAAGTTTTGCATTCCCATTAATTGAAATTAACAATGGAACTAGGTCATCCTACATTTTAACCAGTACATCAAAGAATTTCACAGAAGCTTCATCAATTTAAATTTTGGCCAAATTTAACGTTTAAGTAATTAGAATAAATGCTCTATTTATTACCTGAGTGGCTTCATAACGAAGGCGGACATCTGTCATTTTCATAAAGTGGAGAAAAAGTCGATGTTTGTTTTATAGGTTCAACTCGAAGTGTTTCTAATGTTTTTATTTAAGAATATTCAAGTTAAATTATGGAAAAACATCAGAATTAGTTTAAATTGGAGCTAGGTTTCAGAAAATTTACTTTTTTCCCAGCTTTTTAAAAATGACTTCCGTCTTTGATATGGGGCCACTCATTTGTTTAAATGAAATCATAAAATAATGAAAATTGATAAAGCTTCAAATAATCAAGCCTTCTTTGGATCTTCATTATAAAATAACCACTGAGAAATAACAGAGGTGTTTGTACTAAAAACTTCTCTTGGCCAAAAATAAAACGTTGAAAGCTTTCACATTTTGTCTTAATAATTTGTTGTCGGCTTGAAACATATATATGGCATTGTGGTATCAGTGTGTAATCATCTCATTAAATCCACGCTCTTATCTGGTGTGAGCTCTTCTTCACGGAAAAAAATCAGCCGTATGAGGGGGCAATTAAGGCACCATTTATATAGGTAATAAAAATTGCAGATTGCTGAAAATATATCTCAGCCATTCTAACCTACTGTATTGTCAGCCATATAGATTGCGGTCAATTCTTTCAATAAATATTTTTAGAAATATTGCTGACGAATATTAACAGCAATTGTTTTGTAAAGAAATATTTATAAGGCCCATACTTCTGCAGTAATCAGTCGTTATTCTAAGGGGAATGTGTGAATGCTTTATTTTTTGGGTAACAAGTGCTACAAGAGTATATCGTCCTAATTTTCACCGGATCATCAAGGCATGATTTTGAGTATCTTGTGAAAAAGGTTGGGCTGCCTGTAATTGGCGGTCATCCTTCGATTTCTGGCTGCCAGTGTCTTTGCAGAATACAGGAGTTTAAGTTACCACTTCAAAGTGATTTTCTAGTTTATAATATAATGATTAACTTATAATATGTTACTCCACGAATATTCAAATTTTGTAGGATGTCATTTTCATAACTTCAAAGGTCTATTGGCATTTTTGAATAGCAGCCATTATTAGCTTCTATAATTTTATTTAAAATACTGATTTACGTTTCGGGAAACTCTTCCACTACCGGAAACAAGTCCTGTTCCTAGGGACTAAGTATGATCAGTGCAGGTTAGTATGCCTTTTATGAGGAAAAATATGTACAATATTTTAAATTAAGTGATTTCAAAGAAATGCATCTTTGATGTAATATAGAAGAAAAAGTCAGATTCTGAAGATGTGGAAGGTTCCCTGAAACATAAATCAATATTTTAAATTAAAAATATGTTTTAATACTACTACTTTTGTGACAAAATAAAATTTGACAGCATGAGTTTTCTGTTTAATTTTTTTTAAAATGCTGCAGAATCGCATTGAATGTTTGTTGAAGCTTACAATGAGCATGCTCTTGGTTAATCACAAATCACGAAGCTCTGAGTGAAATGAAAAACATCGAACGTCGGTGTGAAGTATTATCAACTGCTAAAACCTGGCAGAACGATTAATCCTGAAGAATACCGACAAAAAATGATCAATTTGAATAGATTATTGTGTGAAAAATGACACTAATATAAAGAAGACAACAAAAAGTGATTTTTTGGATGTTTTTATTTTGTGATTTGATCGCAATTAGCCAAACCAATGGAGGTGATGATTGAGGCCTTGAGTTGATAAATAATAACACATGCTGCTTTCTTCCTAGACTTGCTCTGTCTGACTACTATGTATGTAAATAAACTGTTGGGGCATGGATTTGCTCAGCAAAACTTCATTTCTTTTGAAAATGCACTAAAATGGCTTGATGACTGGTTCATCTTAAAAGAGCAATGGCAATTCTAGCCTGGGAGCTAGAATGGTGGTTAGTGTGGCTAGTGTGGTGGCCGAGCTGACTAATGTGTGTGAAAAACAAGCGTTTTCCAGCAACCAACTACATGATAAATCGAAGTTTTCAAGATATAAAATAATTACAAGTTCGCACTGTGGTGCCGGCGGGAAGGGACTAGAGAGAGGCTTTTAACTGGTATTAATTTCCCGCCTACTTCCCTGGCTCAAGAAAATCCCTGTATAGCCTAAAAGGAAGGAGTGGACAAAAAAAAAGATAATCTGGCGTGGCATGGGATGAAATGACAGAGAATGGAAAAAAGTATAGCTGGTGATGGACAATATTTCAAAGAAAATATTTTTTAGCATTTTTAGGCAATAAATTTCTATTTTCAATGCAAAAATTTTAGTTTCATATTTACACACCCGCATAAAGGCTTAATAAAGGCAATGAATTTCTCCTCCATGGCAACATGTCCGATGATCTAAGTTACGATAGAGTCACTGTTTGGACATTGATGGCGAGAGACCTGGAGATTGCTGTTTTTGGAGGCTATGACTCATTAACGTGGTTAATATATCCAAATTAGATAGATAAATTAATGAAGAACGAGAGATGTGGAAAGAAGGTTTTTCAGTAAAAATTACTTGAAAACCCTCAAATTGGGATAACCACTTGCAATTTTCTTCACGTATATCACATAATCCTCCTGACTCCTTGTTTATTCCTTTATTAGAAAAAAATTGATAGATTGTTGAAATTGCTTCAAAAATGATGTGAGCACTTTATACATATGGATGGAGGGGACTCGCATCAATTTTAAATTTGTATTCGTTGGTGACATTTATATTATAAAAACGAAATCATAAAAAGTCCTGAATTATCCTGATGCATATTTGCAAAGAATAAACATTAAAAAAAGGTGGGGACAGGATCTATACCAGAGAGTGGAGGCAGAGCTGCGTCGTGGATCGCCAGCGCTCAGCTCTTAGCGTTTACTGTCTTATACTGTTTAGCCTACTTGAATGTTTCCAGCTTCAAAGCTTCGATCCAAGAAATATCTTTCAGTTTTTTCTCATCCTGTTGTCACTGAATACAAATTTAAGTTTAAAATGCATTTGATTAGCTTTTATTAATGGATGTTTATAAAGTAGAGCTGAGAGAGATTTGAGAGTATCATGTTTGGCGGCCATGCATGTTGTGCGTTTGGGCTACACTCCCACTGCCCGCCACAGCTCCAAGATGCACTGTTATTTCAAGTTTTTAGCTAAATATGAACTTTATTTATTATTTAAAAATGCCGCCTAATTACACTCTTTATCACTTAAGTTCTGTTGCAGCTCAAATTTGCACAATTTGTTCTTTTTACTACTTCTTCTAATACCTATTTGTTTTTTCAATGTTGAATTCATATCCTGGAAGAAAGATGAGAAAAAGTAATGAACAATGCTTAACCACTTTTCACACAAAAATCCTTAAAAATTTACTTGTAGCTCCAATAATTTTATTTTATTTTCATGTTTTGTCATAATTCTTTTTTCTTAATCAATTAAATTATAAGTTAAGTATATCACTAATATGTTCTCATGACGCTCTATGTTTTATTAATTAAAAAATTACAACAAACTTCTTTCTTTTCATGTTGAGCTATTTGCTTATAATGTAACTAGTATTTTTCAGGCATTTTCAATAATGGGGCTTTACTTCAAAACATTAATAAATGCACTCCATTTTATTCGTGAAGGATTCCGAAGCATAATCGACTTCAACCTATCACTTCAACGTTTTAAGGTTAGGGTGTTCGGCAAGTTCGTAGATGAAAGCCTGTACAAAGCTTTGTAGTTCTTTTTACTTTAAATATATTTTTAGCTTTAGGCAGCTAATTAATTATTATTAAATAATTCACATAACCATTTGAATGTCAATATTTAGTTTTTATAATTTATCCTTCACAAATGCTTTGCTAACAATTTTAACACAAATGCTTTAACTTTTATTTAGCACGCCTCTTGAATATTAAATGCACAACAATTTTTGTTTAGTCTATGTTTTATGTAAATATGTATATAGTCAAATTAATTTATTTATATTTCAGTATCTTTTGTATTAATTAACAAGAAGAAATACAATATGAATTAGCAGACTTCTATCAATAGTGTTCTATTATCTTCTAACTTTTATTTTCATTTTAAGGCAATTTTACTTTCTCAACTATCTACAGTATACTATTATAACAAATATTATTGCCTAAATACACTTTATATTGTATACACAAATGTAAAAATAATGATTTTTCATGAAGTAAGTTTTTCTCCCATATTCGATTATAGGAATTGGTCTGTATTTATATGCGATGAACTAAATATTATTAGTTCTGATCCTAATATTTACGTTCCCATGAAAATAATTAAAGCAATGATCAGGGTTCTTTATTTTAAATGTAAATATTAGGACTAGAAAAATTTATTTTGTCACTTATAAATGCGGATCAGTTCCTATAATAGAGATGTTAGTAAAAACACAGTTCATTATCACTTTAGATGATAAATAATCCAAAATTAATTACTTTCAATATATTTATATATTTTTATAAATAAAAGTGGATTTAGGCAATTAATTTTGTTATAATACATTCCAGGTCATGGAAAAACATTAAATAAAAGCTTTGCGATAATTTATTTTAGTGATTTTTAAAATTTGTCGTTGTTAAAAACTATTTAAAAAGGACTTTTGAATGGCTAAACTAAGTAAAGTTTAGTTTAAAAATAAACATAAATTATTCACAATTTTTTTTTGTCATCCACAAACTAAACTACAGATAGTCCCTCCACTTTTATAAAACTTTGCCGTTTAATAAGATTTAAATAAATATTAATTAAGTTGAGGCTTATTACGGGAAAACTTGAGATTTATCTCAATTGGTACCAAAAATGATGGAATTATATCCTGTCACCTAAAAATAGACTTTTTTTTCTGTCTCCCCTGCCCGGCCTTATAGACTATACAGTTTTTCCCAGGCCAGGGGAATTATGCCGAGTAAAAAGTCCCACCATCACCGGGATTTGAACTCGTAATCTTTGGTTTATCATCAGATTGTCAACACGTGTTTTACACAACTCATTAGCCCACTCCCCCACCGCATCCCTAACACCTAAAATTAGCTTTTATTTTAACCAAAAATCACTAAAATATATTATCGCAAAGATTCTATTTAATGTTTTTCCATGACCTTTTCATTTGAAGTAAATTATGTCTACTTTACAGTGAAGTTGAATACTTAAATATTTTTTTAGTTATCAGTACCTCAATAAAAAAACATGCCTTGCTTAAAAAAAAAATCTTAAATTTCCTACTTTTCTGCTGAAAATCAGACCAATGTTTATATAAACGTTTTTGTAACTGTTGTGGTCTGCTATCATTCCTATGTAACTGTTGAGACCGGCTATCATTCCTATGAATATTCCCCTCTACGTATGGGACACCCTGTATCATGTAGATTCTTATATTTCATTTGTTTTGCTCAAATTGTCGTCGGAACCATGTCAAAGTAACATTGGGCAGGTTAACATTTGCTACTTTAACATAGTGCCAACAATATAGAAGAAAAGTACTGAAGCCAATGGAACATTGGTTGAATAATTAATACATTTTTATTGTTATATCGTAAGTCCAACATTCTTATGAAATTGTCATTTATTTTTTATCATTCGCTTTTATAGTAACTAGCCAAAATAATTAATTTTTTATTTCAGGACATTTTGTTTTTACTTTTAAAATGCTACTTCAGCTGTTAAAAGTAGCTAGTAGTATTAGTAGAACTTGTTAATCTAATTCTTATTCCTTAGAAAAAACACAAGCTAAAATTTTAATAAAATCAAATTAAAATAACTGTATTATTTTGTTTTGTTTTTGTAGTTATTATCTCAATATTTCAGGCGTTTACTGTATTTACACTGTACTTCAAACTATTACGTGGAGTACTTCTTTTTACTCGAGATGGATTCCGAAGTATTGTAGACTTCAAAATATCTGTTCAACGTTTTAAGGTCAGAGTAATTAAAAGCTCGACAAGCAGTTTATAAATTTTCTTAATTAAATTATTGCAGTTTGATTTGTCAAGCACTAAGGGATGTAGATTGATTATAATGTTGCATTTAACTGTTATGTATATAACTCTTGTATAACTCATCCAAGTCTGTTAACAATCATTTGTTATATTACTCAAACTCATTTTTGTTGTGTTCTGCCTTTTTTCAACTTTATGTTTTTGTATTTTGTGTAGCTTGATAATTCTTCTGCTTGCTAATTTAAAAAAAATCTCTATACAATTAATTATCATTTACATATAAACAAATCCAGGCTAACTTAAAAAATTTCTAATAATTACAATACCGTAAGAAAATCGAAGTGAAAACTAATAAATGTGTTTTTGGTTTAATTAAAACTTATTTATTTTCATAAAGAACTATTTTAAACTCTTTTTATTAAAATTAATTTAATAAATTTTCATTCACAAAAACATCTGAAGTGGTTTCAAGCTCTTTTGTTCATTTCCAAGTCTAAAAAACATAGTTGAAATAAAATAAACGATTATCTATTAAATTTAATTTTAAAAAAATGTAAATCATACGTCAAAATATTATTTGTTCTATATTATTCCGTAAGATTATTCATTTTATTATTTTCTTTTCTTGTATAATTGGTCCTCCGTCATCCAGCTATAATAAAGCTATGTCCACATGGTTTAATTAAGAAATCGGTAATGCAATCTATATAAAGAGATGTGCTGATTTCTATTGATAAGTTTTGAAACAGTCTGATGGATTTACTTTTCGATTTATTCGGCCATACTCCGAATTCTATTGATAGCATGATCACGGGATGTTTTGCCCAATCATCAGAGTGGACAAAACTTATAAAGTAGTATCATGCCAAAAACTTGAGTCAAAATGTATTTGGTCATCGTCATTAGTTTATATTTAATAATTACCTTGGTCATGTTGAATAACTTGATAATTTTGTTTTATTAAGTAAGAGAGTGTTTGATACTTATTTCTGAATTGATTTTCTTTTTTCTTTTTCTTTTTTTTAAAATCTTATTTGAGTATAAATCTTCATGACGATTACAGGCATTTCCAGTTGCATCTTTCATTTTTATCACAGTAAGGCTCTATCTTACTTATTTCCAGTATGGGATAAGTAACTTAATCGACCTCAAAATTACTTGCTCCAGGTTAAAGGTAGATATTTATTAACAGATATTTTATTTACATAGTTTTTTAAATAGTTTTGTTTTGTTACGATGTTATTGAAAGGTTCCAAAACAAATACTTCGGCCTCTTAAACTGTAAAGAATGACTAATCTCTGAACATTTCTCCATGTTCATCAAGCATTATCGAGACAGAACAAGATAAAGTCAACTGAGTAAAGAATTAAGACAGCTCATCTTACATCGTGAATCTAAAATATATTACTCTAAAGGAAGTGGAATATTAACTCTTTCCTTTGAACCTCTTTGGTTAATTTTTTTTAGAAATTCCATGTACGATGTGTTATTGCTAGTTTATATTTGTGAGATCTTATTTTTTCTGTTTTGATGGTGCTTGAATTGGAAAAATGTTGTTTGCTCAATTGTTTACTGTTAATTGAGAGATTCTATGCTTAAGAGTCTTGCATTAATAATCTAATCAGACTTTTTAAAAATGTTATTTCAAAAAGTATTTTGAGGTATATATGAAAAATATATTTCAGTTTGAATTACAATAAAACAGAGAACATTTTCCTATTGCGTCATAACCTGTGTTGTGTTAAATTTAATAAATTTTGTTATTTAAGCGTATATTGTAGATTTTCTTAATGCTGGGTTAATAATAGTAAAAGGCTTGCTGGGCTCTCTATTCATATAATTCTATCCATTGACCGTAGTTGAAATCAGCTGCTAGGTCTATGCCTCGGACATTTGCCAGTCGGCACAGCACTTATTAGTATTTAGGGATTTGTTCTCTATTCAGCCCAACAATTTTATTCACCCTAATGCTATCATCTCAATTATATCAATATTTACCGAGTACAGTTCTCGTGATTTGGCATTGTATTGCTGCGTAGATTCTCTGATTAACTTTTCCTTCTTAATCCAAATATCTTTAATCTCGACCTTAATTTTGATTCAATAATTTAAATGTGTTCAAAAGTATTCCCACATATATCTAGATTATCGAAATCATTGCCATTTCCGCAGCTAACCATATATTTTATCTTATCCGTGTCTTTTTTTCAAGCCCCAATTCTTTACTTCCATTAATCAACACTGTTTGATTTAGTTTTATTGTCTCTGTTTTTACTTATCCATACCAGAGCTAAGATATTTTACCACTACTAAAAATTTACATCTTTTTTCGTATATTCTAGTGCTAAATAAAATAGACCGGATGGAAGGGAATAGCCTTCAGTGAAAAGTTATGTAACGCTGCATTATTTTTAAATATTTTTTCATCCATTTTAGCTCGTTCTTGGCCTGAGTTAAAAATAACATCTGATAAAGCTAAAAAAAATTTATTATTCATTTCAACCAAATAATATTTATCAAAATAAATGAATTATTCCTTTCTTTGGATGGATAAGAGTTCGGTCAAGTTTTCTTAAAATCATTATATCATGTTATATTAAACTTTGTAAATTTAAATCAGGCAATAATGCTAAGGTGACGGCTGAAATTCACTTTTTGTATTCTGTCCTTTTCTTCTATTTGTAAAAGTAACTGCTTTTTGTAAAAGTAACTGCTATTAGTATAGGCAACTACTATTTGTATTGGTAACTGCTATTTGTAACTCATATCTTGAGCTGTCTCTTTTACTTTTATGATGTTGGTGTGGTACAATCATTTTTGGTTCTGTGGTGGTGTAACGATTGGTTCAAATGTAAAGGCTTTTTTCTTTTTTTATTCAGTTTTAGCCTATTTCAAATTTATAAATTAATTAATAGATTTCTTTTGACATTTGAGAGCATGGATATGCCAAACTTGCTGTTTCCATGACAACTGAATTTCAGTAAATTTAAAAAACTTTTACATTCTTTATATTTTGTTCCATAATTTAATTAAGCAAAATGTATTGAGAAATCGTCAAATATTTTAAGTTATGTAATATTGTAAATTTCTCTATTTACTTCTATACTTCTGTATTTACTAGTAATTATTTTCCCCTTATCAAAATGTCTTCACATTTGACTTATTAATGTTTATGCTTGTTCCAGTAGATTATTTGCATGTTGGGTATAGTAGTTATTTTAGATAATTGTAGAAAATAGAAACAAAATTATTAATGTATTGTATCATAAATTATTTTTTATTTGTTTTTGTACTTAAAATATTTTTAAAAAATTATCACCGTTATGTGTTAAATCATATGTATATATAATATATGTATATTGACACATACATTGCAAAAGCCTTTAAGTACAAAAAGTAATATTATTCATGAAACAAAATATATGAACTAAATGAAAATATCTGAAGTGTCCTGGAACCAACTCAACACTTGGCTCCAGAAATAATATTTAATTCACCTTTGCATTAAAATTCTACTTAGTAGAAGCTTTTGCAGTGTGGTTGTCGATGTTTTCTGTAAGTTTTCAAACATGCAGTTATCGTTGGATGTATGGCAGACTAAATTTTTTATTAAAACATTTCAGGAGAGTAAAAAAGCATAATAATCCACACAATATAAATTGTTTATTATAATTATTTATTCGAATTTATTCAATATTTATTTCCATTAACACAGATTCAATATTTTGCCATGTATGTAATTTATAATTTATATTCAAGAAACAGTTGGTGATATTCTTAGCATCAGACCAGGTATAAATTCAAGATTCAAAAGATATGTTAAGCGACGGTCTTCAGTCTTTTTGGTTCAACTCGGAACTTTAAAAACTCATTTTTTGCCATACACTCAACGATATCTTTTTGCTCCTTAATATCTTCTATTAATCCATTTTTTAAGACATGATTTTATAAGGTAATTTATTATTTTTTTTTAATAATAATTTTTGAAATATGATAAAACTGTATTTCATAGGGAGCAGTTTAAATCAGTAAGGCACTTTGCCCCTATGCTCTATGTCCTGTAATTAAATACGGCTGTAACAGGTAATTATTTATTAGCCTTGGTTTGACCCTGGAGTCGGGAGACCCTGCTGGGGCACACCTTGCATTTACAAAGTGGGTACTCCTAATTAAATAATTGATTAAGAGGAAAGAACAGACTGTTGAGTGTGATATTGGTCAAATCACCTCCTTACAGCCGTTGACCAAGAAACAGTATTTCCTTATAAAATGCTAAACCCAAGACCCTCCAAGGGTTGTAGCGTGCAGGTTTATTATTTATTTATTTATTTTGTTAATCAAGTTATATCAATAGATAATATTTGTGAAAAGGCAGGTAGTGTGACATAACTTAACCTAACATTAGAATGGTTATAGGAGATAGTTTTTGATTTTATGAAGGTTTATTTACTTCTAGTTTTACTTTTTCTTTTCACTTTTTTCATATTAAATTCTTATGAAAACTTATATGTTTTCAAGGAATGAATCCATCTTCAAATCTTTCCATTTATTTGCATAATTGAGCCAAAAAAAAAAACAGTGCTCGAAAAGTAACTAAATATACATCTTAGGAAAACTTTTGTAGTAAAAGTTCTTTTAAGATGTTTATTCTAAAAAAAAATTATAATAAATGTTCTAGAAACTTTTTGGTTTGAACTTATATTTTATAAATTTCTAGAGAAAATATTAACATTGCCATTTTGAAACAAAACTCTGTCATTAATGAAAATATAGGAATTATATAAAGGATTTTCAAATTGTTGTATCAAACTCTATTTGATTAATTTTTACAGATTATTTAAAAGGCAATTCAATCACTAACAAAGCAAACATAAAATCATTGAAATAAGATGAGTATTAGGAGGGAGGGATATGGAATTATGAAGTTGGTATACCTGTTTTTTAAACTAGTCCTCTTAAAGCCCTCCCATATTTGTTTAGTTTTTTAAAAACTAAACATCATCTGGGACATTCCAGGAGCCAATTCGAAAGATTATTTATTTTTATTTAAAGCTAAAAATTAAATTCGAAAAAATCTTAATCAGGGCAATATTAGCAAACATTTTTAATATTGAATTTTTCTCCAAAGCAATGTTATTTGGGGAAGTGACATATTAAATGTCTTTGATGCATAACTATTCGGAAATAATAAAACGTTTTGCCATAATTTTCAAATTCTTTTGTAATACTGTTTTTGGGTGGCAAATAACTGGGTATCCACTATATCTTTTTCATAAATATTTGTTTTATAATTATAAAATATATTAAAAAATGTAATTTAATCATAGTTAGTCTAGTGAAAGAATAGAGTATTATTTTTCTTTTCAATTCTTTGGCCTTATAGATTTCTATGTACTTTATAGAGCGTAATGCTGCTTAACGAACACACCACTCTCCTCTCAAGGCCGGTAGACAAATCACAATCTGTTTGTATAGCAGACGGTACATTCGCTTATTATCTTAACAGGAACACCAACTCTGCTGCCAACATGAAGAAAAGGTTAATCTTCAATATGTAATTAAAAATCAAAAGTTGATGAATTACTTTTGAATGTTATTTTTGAGATTTTGGAATATTTTCAGAAAAAGTATTGCTATTCAGAAAGCTACAGAAACTGAAAGAGGGAATGAAAATGAATTGGACTTACTTAATCGTGCCGAATTTGAACAGTCTTTGAATTCTAACTACAAAGAAATCCTTTTTGACATCAATTTTTTTGCTCCAAAGGTATGCAATGTAAAATAATTATTTTATTTTCAGATATGACAGTTTCTTTGAAATGACTAGTTTAACAAAAAACTGATTCAATTCATCTGTATTTTAAATATTTTTCTTCTATTTTGTAAATGTTTTTAATACTCTGTACATATTATATGTGCCATAAATGTATAATATGACTAACAAAAAATGAATTTCTATATATTTTTTTTTTCGAATATATTTAAAATGAATATTGTCAAATTAATAATTTTATCCATGAACTTGTTTAAAAATAACATAATTATTTTAGTGTCAATTGTCTTATCTTTAAGGGAAGCTTGATCGGCGTGTGCGGTCCAGTTGGAAGTGGTAAGTCATCCCTCCTCGCGGGTATACTCGGCCATCTTTACATGACAAGAGGCAAACTGTGCCGCGAAGGGGTGTGCGCCTACGTTTCTCAACAGCCGTGGCTCGTCAATGCTACACTACGCGAGAACATTTTGTTCGGAGAAAAGTTTATCGCTAGGAAGTAAGTTTTAACATAGCAAATTTTTTATACCTTTGTGTTATCTTTTTTCCCAACAGTTTTACTTTTCAGAAACTTTTTATAAAAGCTGTTATCGACTTTATTGGAAGCTATTGATAATAAATGTAAGTAAATAAGAACTCGAGTTTATAAAATTAATTTTCTCTGAAGCCTTAGATTTTCCTATATATTGCATATGTGTTTTAGAAAATCCTCTTAAATTTCTTTCTAGTTTGTTTTCCTTCTAACTATTTTCCAAATATCCTAATAAATAGTCAAATAGCTTAGAAGTGAGGCCGCAATATGTGGCTTTGGTCGTAAGACAGAAACTTACAATTTGATTGGATGTTATCCCTCATCCTCTGTACTCCGTAAACCTTGCCCCATCCAAATATTACTATTCCAAAATTCTCTCCATAATAAATGTCACAAATCCGGAAAGGATATAAAAATACACCTGAATGAATATTTTGCAAGTAAGTCTTAATAATTTCGGAAAGAGGTAATAATAATGAGGCTTCCTAGGAGAGGAAGAAAGTAATAGAACAGCACAGTTCATATGTAACTCAGTAAATCACCCTTAAACAACAAATAAAAAAAAGAAAGATGGGATACTCAAGATATTAGCTAGAATATTGTTATAAAAGGCTGACTTCTATTGGGTGGATAGCGGTAGGATATGGAAGAAGAAAATGAAGCCCACCCCTTCTGGCGAAAACCCTAGTTTCGACCCTGCGTGTTGGTATGGAAAAACAGATTCAGCTACAGCTAATGGCTACATTGGCTATGGTGCACAGAGTGCCCAGTTTGGTTCACAGCCATCGTGGACAAAACAAAATTGGTCCATCCCTTCATGAGATAATCCTCGCTTAAATTGATTTGCACAGACCAAGATCACTCACTAAAAATAAGGTTTTTTTGTTATTTTTGGAAAACACCGAAGCTAAAAATCATTTGAAAACTTCAAATAAAAAATTTGTCTCAATAGCAATACTTTTCTTACTTTCTAAAGCTAAAAAAAAAAGTAAAAAAATGTCCTTTTTGGAAAAAAATCCTCAGGTGTCCAATTTATAAAAGCCTTAAAATTGAACATGTACAATTTTTCTTTTAATTGTGTGTCAGTTAACCTTTTTTTTAATGAGGTTTACTCTATGGCATTAAGAATAACAAATACTAAAGAAATCCATTCCTACGTTATTAATTAAGTATACTTTTATTTATTTTATTTTTTTTTTTTGTACTTTTATTTATGGCAAATATTGGAAGAGTATTTTGTTGATGTTTATTTATAAGTTATGATTTGCACCATTATATTTTGCAATGGGGCTATAAAATACCCTCCTAGTAATTATATAGCTTAAGCTCTTTTCCAACTGATCATGTTGTGTCAGTTACCGTAGCAGTGAAAAAAATTTGAGGCATGGCTAAGAAACTTAATAATGATTTCTACGTATTTCAACTTGTACTATTACAGATACTATGATGTTGTTCAGTGTTGTGATCTTGGCGTAGACATAGATTCTTTACCTGCGGGTGACAATACAGAAGTCGGAGAGCGAGGAGTCAATTTGTCTGGTGGCCAGAAGCAGAGAATTTCGTTAGCTAGAGCTCTGTATTCTGACAGGTAACAAATTTTGTTTATGATTATAATCAATTTATTATTATTACAATATACTATATATTTTAATTTAATTGTTTACCTTTAACATTATTATATTTTTTTAGGGATATATATCTGCTGGATGATCCATTGAGTGCAGTAGATAGTGAAGTTGCCAATACTATATTCGAGAAAGCAATATTGAAAGCTTTACACTCTAAAACTGTAATATTTATTTCTCACCATGTAAAGGTAAACCAGTAAGCCATTTAAGAAACTAACTTAGTTTGCAAGGTACGCTAATTGTAAATTTCATTTTTTTTTTAAAGAACCTATTATATGTACGGCAGGATAAATTCTGATTTCATTTCTCGTCTACAATAGATTTCGATCCTTAAATTCGTACGACAATTTTGATAAAAGCCATTCAAAAAATAGGAGTTTTTAAAATTCCAATGTTGCTAAGTCAACAGATACAGATTAGACAAATTCTGTTTTCAAGATTTTGATGCGGACATCAAGACCCGACATAAAGTTTTTTTGGAACTGTAATTCTTGCCTAAAGGCTCCTAGTCGACACGGCTGCCATGCGATAGTTACCATCTGTCATTTAGGTTTTAAAAATTAAAATATTGCTATTCATTATAGTGCATACCATTTTATTATAGTATATTCTATCTGAAAATCCATTCAATAGGTAAATAAAGAAGAATAGTTATTGGAAGTAACTCTTTGATATTGAATAAAAATAAATATTTTGTAGAATGTTCTTATATTCATGGTTGTTTATATCGTCGTAGTAGGATTGAAGTTGTTATCCTAATAAATAAGAACTTTTTTTAAAAAATAAAAAAAACTGGTTAAATTGAGAACCTATTACAATTTAAAAAATTAGGAAAAACTGATAATGTATAATAAAAATTTAGATGCTCAAGAGTGAATTGAGATTTGAGAGATTTAGGGCTTTGTTTTGAAATTTTCCTATAATATCATAACAGTAATTGTATTATCTTGGTTTTGAGTTTATGTTTACATTCATTAATTAATTAATATATTATATAAAATAATATTACATATTTTTATTTTATGTAGTTTTTAAATGAATGCGATGAATTAGTCATCATGAAAGAAGGAAGGATTGTCGAAAGAGGAACGCCTGGTGATTTATCCAATCGAGAGAGTGAATATAAATTGATAATGGAATCTTTCTCGAGGGTAGATTTAGAAAAACAGTTGAGTAAATATTATGGATTTATTTTTTTCCCTCTCTATTTATTTTTTAAAATTTAATCCATTTTATTTATTGTACAGAGATGAGGATGAAGTTGACGAGACTAAAGCAACATTAAAATACAGAAAGCCATCTACTGACAATGGCAAGAAATACTTAAAACCTTCTGGTATGTTATCACTTTTTTCTTTTCAATAAAAATTAATTTGAAAGAGAAATAACATCTACCTTATTTCCCTTTTATATCAAAATATCCATCATATACGTACTTGACATGATAATAAATATCTATTGTATATGTACTTGACATGATAGTATAAATTCACAGTTTAATTTACATCTATCTTTAATTTTGATTTTATTTATTCATTTCTGCCATGGTCCTGCAAGAACCAGAGTCTCTCTTATTACCTTCCCTCCTCTCGTCCATCCAGGGAGAGCATTTGCCATCTTCGAATTTCATGCTTTTCAATTTGTCCTCCCTTTCAGGCATTGAAGTCCTCTTCCACGTTTCCCTCCAAGTCAACAACCTGCAAACGTTGAAGAATTGAGTCTCATATCATACAGGCATGTCCCAACTATCTGATTACTCTTCACTTTTGAGACCAAATCTGGTCTCATATATATATCTGGTGCTGCTCCTCGTATAAAGAAATGTTAAATAGACTTAAGAGATACTAGATAACATTGCCTAAGTTCATCTTTGAACTTGAAATCTCTTGGCAACAGTCCATTCTACTTCACTATGGATCTACTGCCGCTCTATCACTTAGCATCGTTCTTGTCAAAGTGGCTGATTTGTTTTTTAGGAATACACTACTTTATCATTGTGTTAAGTAATTCTTTCCTGTTCGTACTTGAATTTCCCTGTTTAAAATTTATAAAAAGGAGATGAAAGTTTATTTCATACTTACTTGTTTTTCCGATATTTACCTTATCAACAAAATATAATCGATAGTTGATCTATATGTACTAAAATCATGTTATTTACTTAAAATAATCATGGGCCAAAACTCACCTTTTTTATTCAAAAGAACTAAATAAACTTTTGTTAATTCTAATTATATAACAATGCTTTGTAAAATAATAAAGTATTGTTCTGATTTTTTTTTCTATGCAGTTACAATTATTTTATTTTCAGCTAAGCAAGACGGTGTATTAATAAAAGAAGAGATGAAAGAAAAAGGTGAAATAGAATTTAATACTTTATTCAGCTACATAAATGCTTGCGGAGGATGGTGTCTATTTTTTTCTTTAATAATCGTAATGCTGATGAATATTGGTTCTTCGGCTTTCAGTTCTTGGTGGTTGCACGAGTGGATAAAAGCAGGCAGTGGAGTGAGTCTTTTTGTAATATAATTTATTTATATGATAGATTACTTCTGACACGTCAGGACGCAGTCAGTTTTTAAGATTTTTATTGCCAATGTTCCAACCCAGCTTGTGGTTCATCATCAGGGCATGTTACCAGGACTGAAGGTGCTTGTACTTGATGATCCACACGGTCGAGTTGAATTGTTGGCAATAAAAATCTTAAAAAACTGACTGCCTCCTGACTATCCATCATCCATGATATCTAGAACAGTCGACTAACTTCCTTCAATAAGATATCGTTCGATTATATTCTCTGTTGTTTAGTTATTATAATAATTAGTTTTGATTTTTTTTTTATAATGGAAGATATCTCTTCCGTTGTTTATTTATTTCATTTACATTTTCTAGTTGACCTTTCGGGCTTCTGAACCATCTTCAAGGACAATTACTTTTGATTGATGTTAATCATCATATATAATCGAACACGTTGCAACAAAAATCTGTTTTTGGTTATTGTGCATGATAAACATTTTGTCATAGTGTTTAAAATACGTTAAAAATAAAATACATTTTTTTAAATGAGTTGAATGCTGTTTTCACAGTTACATTGCCTCTCAGAAGAGTTGATGTTTATATGTAATAGTAAACATCAATCAGAAATAATCGTCCTCGAAGGTGGGCCAAAAACCCGAAATATGGATTAGGAGATAATAACTAAAATAATCTAGCAGCGGAAAAGATACCTGCCTTTATAATAAAAACCTAAGATCAGTAATAACTCTTCCTCATATATTATATAAAAACAAGTGTACACTAATTAACTATAGTTAAATTTGTATATTTTGTTGCAGAACATTACTTACATTGATGCAAATAATAAGACATTTGTCAGTGATCGTATTGTTGATCATCCTGATTATGGTATTTACAGGAATGTATACGGTTTCACCATATTAGCAATTTTATTGACCAACTTAATACGTGGATATGTTTTTACTAAGGTAGGTTTTTTTATTTACCTAATAATCATTAATTTTTAATATTTTATTTTAGGAGTCTCCAAACCATGGTTTCGCAAAAGTTTTGTTGATAATATGGTAAAATTAAATTTAGTAAATCACTCAAAAACAAAGTTATTAGAAAGCTTTTAGTTTTTAGCTTTTAGAAAGCTCATATCATTAATAGAACTAGATCTTTTTCTTTTTTTCATCTCAAGGTCATGAACATGGTGCAGGCAGGACCTTGTGGAGATCTCAATGTGGCGGCAGGCTTAAAGGTTTGGAGGGCTCTGGTTTAGATTTCATTCAATGTTTGAGTTGGCTTAATATTATCATCGGTGTTCTGTAAGAAAGGCTAATTCAACCAATTGGATATTTTTGGATTTTTAGCCTCACCGCACGAATAGTTGTCAATGATATGTTTAAACAGTGAATCTTTAACTTTCCTAACTCGCGTGTGACAAGTGTTAATTATCTTTCCAAATATTCCATTTTCAAGTGAAAAGATTAGCCAAACTTGGTAAACGTAGGTTTGAAGAGGCCTTCTTCCTGTGCCTTTAGTTTAATTCTACATCTGTGCCTCTGGACACAGAATTACTGCAATAAAGGACAACTTGATTGGTTCACTGTGAAATAATAAAAGCGAAATTCCATCCATTTTCTTTAACGAAATACGGCTAGTGCACCTTGCAATGTAATCGTACTGTGTGAATTTTTATGATTCGTAGTTTGGAAAATTATTATTATATAAATGAATATGTTTTTAGGTTACATTGAAGGCCTCTGCAAAATTTCATAACACTCTTTTGGACAAGCTTATGAAGACATATCTCTCATTTTTTGAAAGCACACCTGCTGGAAGGATTCAAAATCTCTTTGCTAAAGATATTGATGAAGGTAAGTTTCCATTTTATGTAAATTTAATTTATTGTAAGATACTATTTCCCTCCAGCTTTGTTTTGTAATTTAATATAACAATAATTAATGTACTGTATTTTCAAATTTAGTCAAAAGTTGTAAGATTACAGAAGGTCTGAAGGCCATTCAAAACTTCCATATTTTTTCTTTATTGTTTAACTTGTCACAATCTTAGGTATGTTTTAGACTCATAACTTCAATTTCAGAACAATATTATTCTTGTTAGTTTTTTAAATAAAGTTTAAAATCATCTTGTCACTTACTTCCAATGAGTTACTATAATTATTAAAATACATAATTGTTCACATTAACACCTATTTTTCATTTTCTAACATACTATAATTTTAGTAGATTATAGAAAATAAAATATTAATTCATGTTTTCAGTTGAAACAAAACTTCCTTTGACGTTGGAAAGTTTGATGCAGGGACTAATGAACACAGCTTTTTCAGTGCTATTTATCTGTTTGGCATTTCCATTTTTTGCCATTGGTCTAGTGCTTTTGTTTTTGGTTTATTATTTCAGAATTCATCGATCCTTCAGGTATTTTGTTATTTCATTATTTAAATTTATTTGTCAACAATTGCTTGATTGTTTTTATCAATTAGTGACAATACAATCCTTATTGAAGGCATGGTACTTAATAAATACCAGTGACACTTATTAACATACATAAAATCATAACCTTTACACTGATAACAGCCTTCTTAAACAATCTATCAACATTGTAATCACTAGCTGATTCACTGATTAATTATAAATCGACTCACTTTTAATAAATCTTATCCTTAACTACTAATATCTGAACTAAATCAAATTATTATTAACTGATCTCTTAACTGAGCCCTGATAGGATCCATTCTGACAATTTTAGGAAACGGATGAGTGTAATTTTCTGTAACACAAACTTATTCTTGGTATGAATATTCAATAAATATTGGATTTATATCTTTGGGCTAAATCTAATTACATATCATTTCTGGCTATCATATTCTCATTTTTTTTTTTTTTAAATATATATAGTTTCTTTGTTGACTCACAATATAGACTATAATATTTTCGAAATAAGTAAAATAAAGGATGATTTATTTGCATTCAATTATATAAAATACAAAACAAATTATTGTGTCAGTGTGTCAACATTTGTTTTAACGAGGAGCTACTGTATTTATATTTAAAATTTCCAATTGATTCTTTAATCACTCCATAAAAAAAAATAAATATTTTATTTCTGAAATGATTAAATGTTATTAACTGCAATCATGGTTTCTTGTTTTTGATAAATTTTATAAATTGCAGAGCTGGGCTTCGTGAATTGAAGAGACTGGACAACTTGACGCGCTCTCCCGTTTTCAGTAACGTGTTGACTACCGTTCAAGGCTTGGACACCATACATGCCTTTGGGAAGGAGCAGGGGTTCATTCAGAGGTAATTATTATTAAATGAAAAATTATTAGGTTTTTGTTTTGTTTTATGTTATTATGTTTATTACGACTTTATAAGGTAACGTTCTAATTTCAGGTTTACTTCATCTTTTGACTTCAACTCTGTTTGTTTTTACATGTCAAGTGTGGCCAATAGATGGATAGCACTCAGAGTCGATACCGTAACAGGTAATGACATATAACATTTTGATTTAATGTTTACTTTTATTATTTTTCCTTGATAGTACGAGAACCCGCTTAGTAACTGGTAACTGTAAGCCTTCTACCAGCTGTTCGGCTCACTCTACCAGATGTCTTAGTTACAATGAATACTGCAGTTTCATTATATAGTTTATAACTAGGGCCAGGATCTAAATTTGAAAGATTAAAAGATTCACTTTTTCTTTCCTTAATTTTAATGATTTTTAATTAATTTAAATTAATCTGTAATAAAATATTTCATGAATGAAGACTTTTTGAAAAGAAATTTACTACACATTTTTTATTTTCACTTTTCTGGATCTGAATTATATAACATAAAGAAAAGTAAAATCCCTAAAAATTTTTAATCCATGTTTTCAATGTAAATACATGTTCAAGTGACCAAATCTCATAAAAAGGTTTGTGAGTGTGTGTATGTCAACGGCCTTGCTGAAAAACCTAAAGTTGCTTGAAACTAAAATCACATATTTAACATTGTCATATGCCTTACTGCAAGTGTTTTTTACATTGGCTGAAGGGAAGTGCTATTTCATATCATTAGTTTTACAGTTTTCCTGAGAACTGCTCCAAGGATTTCGATTAAAATTGTTGTATGAAATGTAAAATTAAATGTTCTTTAATGTCAGGTAGTATCATTACCGAGAGGCATTTCAAAACTATATTTATTTCAAATTCATCCACGGCATATCTTTTTTCAGATTTATTTATAGTATTACTAATTAATTACTATAATATTTAATATTTAAAAGAAAATATAACATAAGTCTTAAAATACAATATAATATAAAATAATACAAAAAATATATTCTTGACGTCTGTCTAGCTTCGCTGATTTTTCCACCAGGAATAGCTGTTGCTGACTTAGTGCACCGATAGGCTCTTTATGATATTACAGTCACAGGAATAAAAATGGCTTGTGAGGTAGGAAGTTATGGACCAGCTTAATACATACAGTAGTTTTTTTTTGCTCCCGATAATGGCCATCTAATACTCGCACATATATCATATCTCGGCTTTCTTATTAGTTTATATTCTCACCTACCTTTCTCATTATTCTCCTTCCCTGTAATTCTTTTTCTGTAATACCAAGCTCTTTCACCTGACAGGAATATTCTCTAATGTTTCTCAGTGCGATAACTTTGCAAATGTAGAACATCTGTTTGTTCAACCTGCTTTCATTCATTCTTTTTATGTGTGTGCCCGAAAAATTTTAGTCTCCTTTTCCTCATTGCTGTTTGGAAGTATTCAGTTCCTTCGTACAGTTCTCTGCTTTTTTCTTCTTTTTGTTTTGAGACCAATATTCTTCTCCTATTTATTTCAGTTCATGGGTTTTTCTTTCTATTTTCAGTAGTTTTTCTAAACTAGTAAACTCCATTGTTAACAATCTGAAGTGTATCACAGGTCTTATCACTATTTCATGATGTCTGATTTTAAATTTTTCAAAAGATTCTTTTTATTGTAGATATTCTTTGTCAAATATCTCAATCTCTCCAATTTTACTTACCTAGTTTTGGTTGCTTGAGCATTCCTTCGGATTCACCATTTCCTCTAGGGGAAGGAGGTACTTTAGTTCCATTTTTTTCTGATATTTCAATTTCTCAATTTAGCTTATTACTCCTTACTTTTAAGGATTGGAAAATACTTTTAAGAACTGTTACATCCTTTATAATAAATATAAACTTGATTATTATTAAATCTATTTATATTTTTTTATTTTCAGTGCTCATCATATTCGGTACTTCAATTTTTTCGATTGTGATGAAAGGCAGTGTACCAGCTTCCTTGGCAGGGCTGGCGATAGCATACGCGACAACTTTAAGCGGCATGTTACAGTTTACTCTTCGCCTCATTACGGATAATGAAGTCAAGTTTATTTCTGTCGAGAGGATAAACACTTATATTGGTGTATGTCAAAATTGTTTCTTTCTATATATGTATAAAATTTTCTGTGCAGTATATATGTACAAAATTATCTGTGTAGATTCTCAAAGAAGAAGGAGGGCATGGACCGAAGGGTGTACCGAAAGAAACCTGGCCTGAGCTCGGAACCATAAGATTTCGTAATGTGGAACTCAGGTATAAAGATGAAGCTGAGCCAGTGCTCAAAGGAATCAGTTTTCACATCAGATCTGAAGAGAAGATTGGTAAAATATCATTATGTCTAATGAAGTAGAGTAATTGCTCACTAGATTTTATCAAATTTCACTGAAAATAATTGTTACATCTTTATTTTTGAAGCTAGATTTTTCCTTTTTTTTTTTAAGTTTTAATCAGATCTGTTCTTATGAGACTGATAATTCTACTTATTCGTTAACTAGTATGTGCTTGCTCTTGCTTTAAGGGGTAAGTTGTAAGAGACTCATTGATGGTTGTGTGCCAAGTGCAAAATAGTTGGTTTCACATGTTTTAATCTTCAATAAGTCATTGAAATAGGATGTGGAACTTGATTGAATATATTGAAAAAAAAAAAAAAAATATTTTGTTGTAATGTTTGGCTATGGCAGCAACTGAGGAGTTGAGCTTAAGTGTGAACAGCAAAGCTCAGTCACTAAGGGTTTAAGGGCATATTTCCTACTGGTTTTTGTTTTGAAAACAGGTGAAAAGTGATTGTTTCTATTACAGCATACCTGAGGACATTGAATAGAATTTTTAAATCAAATTTAAAAACAGTTGAAGTGGTGGAAATAGACAAAACCCTGAAAGGAATTTCCTTAACACCCACTCACTCATTTCATTGCAAAATTTTTTAACTCAATTAGAGGGAGCTTCAAACCTAAAAAATACTTTAAAAAATAGTATTTTGAATCAACAAAAATAATTTGTACCAAACTATACAAGACATGAATATAACAACAGTAAAATATACATGCATGACAAATAGACCACATTTCACTCTTCAGCCTAAACGACCCTAATCCAACGGTTCTATCACTTTCCTCCTCCTTGTTGTCTGGTCGTTATGAACAAAGATTAAGAAGGCTGTTGCCCAGGCATCTGCTCCAACTGATTACTCAATATAAAGTATCGAGTTATCAAGAACAAATGAACACCAATGTTCTTGTAAAAGAATATCCTTCAATTTAACTATATTTCTCTAAACGCTTTTGTTTATTTTATTTGAAATAATATTTTTAGGGATTGTTGGAAGGACTGGTGCAGGAAAGAGTTCTATCGTGACGGCTTTGTTCAGGCTCGTTGAAATATCTAGTGGAAGTATCATTATTGACGATTTAGATATAGCAAATTTGAATTTGAACGAACTTCGAAGGAGATTATCTATAATTCCACAAGATCCTGTCCTGTTTTCTGGAACTATTAGGTAACGTCTTCTAATATTTCTCTGGTAATTTTGATAAATTATTATTTATAATAATTTGTTGATTATTGCCACTATTAATTTATAATATTATTATCTACACTATATATAATATGATTGTATAGATCCATTTTCCAGCTCTTAGGAATGATCGATTTTGATGGGAAAGATATCAAATCAAAGAAAATCTCATTGAGAAATGACAAATCTCAATTTCAAAATTCAAAACCTTGCTATAAGTGTAATTAAAGTCATTGCAAAAATTGGGAGCTTTTAAAACTCAGATGGTTTCAAAAGTAGACAGATCAAGATGGGATGAATTGTGTTTCAAAGATTTTGATGTGGAAATCATTCCTTTGGGAGTGCACCGGTTAATGCGTTTAAAGATTAAAAATGGCAAGTATTCGAAATAAATCATAATTCTTACCAAAAGCTTCTTGGTCGCTTTGATTGCCATGGGATACTTATCGCTTGTTTAGGTTTTGAAAATTAAAATATTACTATTTAGGATAGTCTTAGAAAAATTAAAAATCTATTGAAAATGTATACATAGAATAATTGCTCTGTGATCCCTTGGCCACTTCTTATCGTATATAAAAAATTTTGTTGATATTATTAATAGAGTATGGTTTCCATACTCTCCATAATATACTTCTATAATCTTAGTAACTGACAGAACCGCAAGCGAACGTTCCTCCACACCATGGATTAGTGTAAGTTGAGGGAGAGTTAGGTATTATTGCCTAACTATTGAACTGGGCGAATATTTTTCAGTGGACCAAGCTAATAAATTTTTTAGTTAATTATTGCTTTAACAGCTGCAGTAAAGAATGATGCTTCACCAGTTGTGTCTGTAGAACATACCTTCTTGATAATATTATATTGTAGATGAGAATAAACATGTTTCACTGATGTCGGTTATACATCGAATGCATTTGGAAGTAGGTTATCTAATTTGAGAATTTTTACTGAGTACTGGTGGATATGTAACCCGTGAATGTTAAGACTGAATTTCCGAAAATGGCTTCTGTTGCAGATTTTATTTTCCTACGAAAAATTATAGGTTTTGAAATATAGATATTGTTCAGCCAATAAAAACAGTGAGGAAGCTATACCGGCCTTACTTGGCAGGTGTTTTTCTTCATGACTGGAAGTTTTTTTTTAATAAGAATCAAAATTTCTATCTCATTCTTGAAATATTCAGATGATTTTTTTCACACGATTGATTAATTTTTCAGGTCAAATTTAGATCCATTAGACAACTTTAATGATGATGAGCTTTGGTTAGCTCTTGAAAAGACTAGCCTAAAAGAAAGAGTTATGATGACGGAAGAAAAACTGCACACTAAAGTGGAATTCAATGGAAACAATTTGTCTACTGGAGAAAAACAGTTACTTTGCCTTGCTCGAGCTTTGTTGAAAAATTCAAAGGTATGTCTTATAAGAATTCTTTAATATCTTTATATATTTTGAGTAAAGAGAAAGAGATGTAAAATATACAAACAACATAGCTGTCCGTGATAATTTATCACATTCCACAGTTCAGATCACTTTTTATCAAATTATTAATACTCTTCTAAAATTTGATCAATGGCTTAATTTCAATCTGGAGGTTGGTAAACTTTGTCAATTTAATAACACACTTAGAATTCATGAATACCCATTTACTTTCCACTTGAATTGCAAAATAATTTGATCACAAAATGGAGAAAAAAGTTAAGCTACAATAATATTGGGACATTTGGTGTGAACTCCACCCCTAACATGTCAAAATAATGAGGTTGTATAGGCCAAATGGCCCGATATTTTTGTGCCTACAATATATAGCACCTCATTTTCAAAGTTGTAAGCTACGATAAAATTAAGCCATTCCCGAAGTTTTAATAATTTGATAAAAAGGGTCAGTTTTTCAAACTACAAATACACCTGAAGTCATCATCTCCTTTCTTTAATATTTCTTTTTTTCCCATTCATCACATTAGTTTATTTTTTTTTCTTTGAAGATTTTAGTGCTGGATGAGGCCACGTCAGGTCTGGATTTTGAGACTGAGAAAATCATTCAAAAAACTTTGTTTGAAAAAATGAAACATTGCACAGTTATTATAATAGCTCATAGGCTGGAGACAATAAAATCTTGCCATCGTATTCTTGTTATGAACAAAGGAGAGGTAATTCTTGTTTTTATTATAAATATAAAGTCATAACTGAAATAAGCCATTTGATAAGCTCAACTTATCCTAAACCTCTATCAATAAGGGAAGGGGTGTGTGGTAGCTCAGCGAGTAAGGCGCTGGTGTGGATGGCAGTATTTGCGAATGTTGGGATATCGGTAAAAATGCTGGCCAACGTTGGCGCTTTAACCAATGAAGCCATTTCCGAGTGGTTTTCTTTCACACAAAACAGATTTCCTCTTGCCATTGGCCAATACTTGCATGGCATCCACACATGTGACGAATCAGCTTTCCAATGGTTCCTTAATTTTATGTGAATAATTAAATCATCGAGGGTCGGTTGGCATTTATAATCAACATCTAATATCTGCTTCAACATTTTATTCATTTAAAATACTTAATTAAAGTTTCGGAGAACATTTGCCATCTTCAGAATCCTACTTATTATGCATAAGTGAATTAATTTAAAATTATTTACATTCTTCTATGTTTCTTAAAAGGCCTCCTGCCCGAAGTTCCCTTACTTTTGTCTAAATAATTGAATTTGAGCTGTGACGGTCCAATGTGTTACGGTGTCACCTTAGCATACTTGCCTCAAAGTTCCAATCTGGAGGGGATTCAAATTTATCTCCAACAATGTACATATATGGTTTTAGAAATCATCTTTCAGATTAATAGATTAAATATTGTTAGTACAATATCAGTAATATAATCAAAATTTTATTTATTTATTATTTTTTTCTTTTTCAGATTGCTGAATTTGACGAACCGGCCACTCTTCTCAACGACAATAACTCTATGTTCTATCGCATGATGGCTGCTTCTAATCAAAACGAAATCTGAATCATTCCAACTACTCTTGCGCTAAATACGATTCCAATCAATGCCTTAGTATTAAATGCCTTATAGATCATGACGAATTATATTTTGAATAGAGATTCTTCTATCCATTAACTCTTTTGCTATAAAGAGGATGCTCTTATTAAAAATATTTTCAAAGCATTATTTTTATTTGATAATTTGAATAAATATAAAATTATGAGCTTTTAGACAAAAATTAATTAATCATTTTATATAAAGACTGAAATAAATGCTTTTGGAGAACAGTATATATTTATAGTACAAAAGACGATTACATGATACAATCGTACTTAATTCCATGATTTAACTGAATTCTTTAGATTTAATAAAATGTGATAAAATTATTTTAGTTTTAATTTTTTAATGGAAATGAAGGCGCCATAAAATATGGAAATAATTTTACAAAGTTTTAGAACAATTTTTTGTTTTACTAATGTTCATAACTGGTCATAAATAGTTGTTTAAAATTTTATTGTGATAATTTGTCCAATGTTATTTATTTTTATAAATAAGTTAATGTATAAACTATCCAGTTGGTTGAAATGAAATTGATGAAAATCCTCCTATGACAAAAAGAAATCCGTTTTTGTTCCAACTGATAGAAATATAAGTATTTGTTACTTCATTAAAAAAAAAAAAAATCAAACTTTTGTTATCTATATAAAACATTATCAGTGCCATCAATGTGTAACAGTGTTGGGTATTTCACAAATTATTGAAAACATTATATTAATAAATAAAACTGTATGCAAAATATATTTCTTGATTTAATTTAGTTTTATTGAGAAATTATTTAATTTTCAAATAATAAAATTAAAGTTTAATATTAAAATTTCCTACTTAATTCCTAAATTATTTTGTGAATAATAGTATCCTTTCCCCTTTGTTTTCTAAAAATATATATTAAAGTTATTGTTATGATTTATTTTGAATAAGTTTTACCCAACTCTGATTATTATCTTTCTGATAAATTAGGCTAGTAATCAATTAATTTTAGTGGTTACTTTAAGGTTTTAAAATGTAAAGGAAGAAAAACAATTTAAGATTCTAACGGTCTCAAATTTTAATTTTACGTAATTAGTGAATTATCAATATTTATTTAATTTTTTATGAGCCTTACCATAGTGAAATCCTTTCTTCTTTGTTGAGCCTATTAGACTAGACATAATAGTTTTCTGGGTATTTTTTTTCCCCACTTTATTATCATTTTCAAATTTTATTATTTAATACAGATATTAGGAAACCCACAAACAAGTTTTAAGTGCTTTGCAATAATGATACTTTCAGTCTTCTGTTTCTTTTCTTAGCATATTGAATTACAAAAAACAACTTATATAAACTAGTTGAACCAGACCGAAAAGTTTTTGTCCTATTGTTATGATTAGATAAAATCGAAAATTGTTAATTTGAGTTTTACTTGACTTCTTCTAAACACAGCTGCAAAATATATGTAAAATTCATTAGAGCCTTATATAGCACAATTTTTATTTATTTTATTTTTGTAATTATTGTTTTATCCTGCTTGGAGTACATAGGGGTGATAAATTCCTAACCCCTCCCCAAAAAAAAACATATATATTTTTAATCAAACTATCAATATTAAATTTGTGGTAAGAGATTTTACACATACAGAATATTTCACAGAAAAAGGAAACAGTATTTTATTTATTAATTTTGTTTATCGTATAAGATCATTTGTTGGATAAAATATATTCTTGTACTTGCATCATATATTTATATATAAATTGTTAAAAGTATTAATATTTTAATCAAATGTTTGCTTATATTATAATAAAATATATATTTAGAGGTTTTAAACTTTATTTTAATTTTATTTTAGATATAAATTTATAGCTTTTGATGCCATAGGAACTTAGATAAGGAAAATAAAAAGATAAGCTGTCTTCTTATGATTTACAATATTTTATTTTTGTACCAACTAGTTTTGGTTTTTATTCCTTCAACAGCGACATACTGATCAAAGTAAAAATAAAACCGAAATAATAAAATAAAATTAAAATCTGTGAAAATAAAATATTTAAAACATATAAAGAAAACATCTTTTTATTCACATGAATTCGAGACTTGTGGTACAAATACAAATACAAATACAAGAACTACAAGACTTGAAATTCCTGACTGTGGACAGAACGATACTATTTCTATGTTAATTTCCAATTTAGTTCACATTTCAATCTTTAGATTCCCATCTTTATCTTTTCCTCTCACCATTTTTCGTGTAATATTATTTAAATCTTACCAGAAAATATGAAATTAAACTGCATATCCTCAAAACAATATTAACTGTAAGCGAAAGTGTGCAAGCAAGGCTAGTGCTCACCCGAATCCCTTTGACTTTTGATGGAAAAACCAACAAACACTGGAGAACACCCTTTTTACATGCTCATGTTTCTCATCTTTTGAGTAATATGCAAAGAATACCCAGACCATAGAACACTTACATAGTAAAAATTAAGCACTATACATTATTTTATCACTTCCTAAATTACTTTTTCAACTTCAATTATTAGTACAAATTACTAAAAACAAATAAGGAGTAAAAAAATAATTCCGATTACTAATGAGCAACACGAATATTTCATGATTTTATTTGCTTGAATAATACAGGCCCACTTGTCCGACCCCCTTCCTGTACCAGTACCATTACCTTTAATAGTGATCAAAAATTTAAAATCATAGAAAATAAGGAAGAAGTTATTGTATTTTTTATATTTATTTTGAAGAAGAAGAAAATCAGTTGTTGAAATTTTAAACTGATTAATTTTATTTGCCCATTTCTTTGGTCAAATCTCTTGGAAATGTTCCATTTTCGATTTGCTCATTCCAAGTATTTACCCACTCATGTGGACAGAGACACTTGTAACATTTTTCAAACATTTGGCAATTCTGGTTACCTTCGCCTAATAAATATGAACACCTAGAAACAAAAATAAATGAAAATTATATTGTCTGAATGATAAACTTTGGTCTTAAATTAGTTCATTACATTTTGTTCCACAATTTTCCAAGAACTCGTTGGCCCATAGGAATAATTGGCAACGAATGAACAAATGACAAAATAATAAGTGAACTAAATAAATTCAACATATAAAATGAAAGAATCATTTCTTTTTTTTTTTAGGTAATTGTAATCAACAAAGGAAAAGAAAGTTATTATTAAACTTCATTCATGTTTTAAACCAAAATGTAATGAATTACAAAAATCTGTATCTCAGTTAAATGGTCCGAAATTGATGATTTATTACTTTTATTTTGTAGGGAATTTAATAATCGTGGGTACAATCGACAAAAAAGTATACTTTTTGAGTTATTTACGAGTAAAGTTTTTTCCTTCATAACATTTTTCATAAAATTTCGGGGGGAAGGGAGGGAGGTGACTATTTTTCCCACCTGAAGGAAAAGATTGGATTCGAAGAATTGATGAAGATGGTGTAGTGACAATAAAACACCTTTGAGAAATAATATATAAATACATTTTTAATAATATATAAACAGGATTTTTTTCACATGTGTGCACATCGGAGGTCTGATGCAGTCCTGTGTGTGGAACTAATAAATAAACATAGTTGAGATGGTTAACATAGGAACCATTTTTCTTTTAATTGAATTTTTTTCCCAGTCATTATCCAATCCATTGATAACTCCTCAGGATTTTTTCCTAATCCAATATTACCATAACGGCTGTAAAGCTGAATTATTTCTCTTCAAAACCATATAAATAACTTTTTGATTTAACACCTCCATAGGGAATAAATAAATAAAAATTCACATGTTATTATTTTGAGTTCTATTATATAATTAGAAGTCGGTGGTGACAATTTTCTAGTATTATAAGATAAGGCTTTGTTTAATTTTTGACCATATTTATTTTAATTTTCATGGCTGCGTTTCGGCTCATAAGCCATTTTATTCAACCATGCTTTTTGTATGTAGTCCAAAGTTTGGACTATATGCAAAAAGCATGGTTGAATAAAATGGCTTGAAGATGGCTTACTTATTTGATACTTGTGATATCGATATTTTTAATTAAAAATTATAGTAATATCGATACCATCAACCGATATCGATATTGAAATGGAATATCGGAACTTGCTCGATATCCCAACAGCTCTCACCAAGGCAGCTCCTTCCCATGTTAACAGAATACTTGCTACTTTAGGCATTTATCGGGAATCTGCCAATATGTCTGCTCTGGGTCATCTTGAGAAATGGAACTAGTAACAAATTCAGATATCTATCGACGAGATAATTACCTGTGGAAGTCGATCAACATGCGGTAACATCGACGAGATAATTACCAATTACCTGTGGAAGTCGATGAACATGCGGTAACACCACTTGGTCTTGTTGGCCTGCTGGAACCTGGGGTCCGGAGGGCAGGTGTTGAGTTCGACCGGGGGGGCCTCCTCTTCCTTCTCCAGTTCGGCGCAGATCATCCCGTCGATCTCGACGTAGCCCTTCGCCACCGACCCCGGCCGCAACCGTTCTTCCAAATTCGACATTTTAATAATAAAAAGACTTTCGGAAAGCTGTTATTTCCTTATGCGATTAGGAGCAATGTCCAAGGAGGCGTTGATGGAAGAAAACAAAATTATTTCAAAACCATAATTCTAAAAATCAAACAAATGTTAATAAGTCCTATAAAGACTTAACACATGATTTTATTGCTTCGTTTGTTAAATAATTAAGAAAGAAGTATTTCAATTCTTTATTGGAAACATTTTTGATGAAATGTCCGCTGAAAAATCCATAATAGCGAAAATCTATCGATTTTATCTATATCCCAAGATAAAATCAACAGTACTGAGCTTTTAGGGAGACAGACAGAAATCTTGGTAGGTAGGTAAGATGACAAATAAATTAGGGTACTACCATACAAGTGTCACCCCACTTCGATGGATGGCACAAGATTTCATGATCATATTATAAATATAATCCCACGAATGGCCGTTTCTATCGGAAAGTAAACGGAAGACGGAACTGTCTGGTACCGACCTCGACTGAAAAGAACCGTTTGGGGTTGTTTGATCACTTCTGAGCGAGCGCCCGATCAAAAGCAGTGATGGAATTAAAGCTAACCAGCCCAGTAGAGGGTTTGCACAAGTCGTAAATAAAGGGAGGTTATCTTGTAAAAGAGTCAAGAGATACGAGCGGATTCGTCAAATTGGAGTGGCACTAATAAACTGATACCAATTGTGTTTTTCAGAACTTCAGTATTCTTTCTTTACACTTTGAGGAGAAGCAGCTTCTCCTTTATACTTCAGAGATAATAGGCTGACCAGAAGATAATACAACACTTCATATTTTCTTTATATTAACCCTTTATATAACCAAATGTTTACGTTAGAGGATTTATTCTTTTGTAGGGGTGTGGAAACCTATTAATCACCTTCCAAACAAAAATGTGTTCGTTTTAAGAGTTGAGAAGAGTCGGAACGACCAGTATCAATTAGAGAAGTTTGGCATGATCGCATAGTGAGCGATTGCGCCGTTCAACGATCGTTCAAAGAACTTCCAAAGAGAGACTTCAGATTTGAAGACAGAGATGGTCATGGAAGGATTTGTTCCCTTGATTATGGTGTTCTTCGAGCTTTAGTCGAAGAAAATCCAAGAAAAACAGTTCGAGAACTTTCAGATATATTCTCGGTTAGTTATTTGACCATTGCTGACTACCTCAAAGCTAATGGAAAGGCAAAAAAAAAAAAAAAACTTGAAACTTGCTTTAATTTAGTATGAAAAGACAACCAAATAAATCATTGTTATGAAGTTTTCGCTGCACTTTTTTACTAGATTAAAAACGAACCTTTTCTAGCAAGAATTGTAAAATGTAATGATATTCATTATGACAATTATAGAAATTCAAAGTTATTTTTTTAAAGGGTAAACATTTTATTGATCAGAATTCGTTCCAAATTACGTTTGGAAAAGGTACCAACACGTTAGAAAAATTTATTACGACTAATAAAGCTTGTTTTGATTAATACAAATCGTTTTACATCATTTATTTTATTTTAAAACCACTAACTTCTGTTAATAACAAAAAATAAATTTCTGGACGATCCAATACATTGTAGGGTCCATCAACCTCATTAGCCGAAGGAACCGCTGAGCCATCGGTAATTTAATTGATGAATAAAAGAACGTGGTTAACTCCATCGATGAGCTCAACGCTGGCTTTAGAAATTTGTCCTTTATGAGATTATACAGGCGTACTATTACTTTTAATAATTTAATTAATGTTCATATCTCCACCCTCCATATCCAATATTCATGAGTATCGCCTTTGTATACAACTTTTTACTTTTGATTAATCTTTAATATACGATAAAAAAAATTATTCTGTCGGATTATAGTATTTTTAATACTTGTTAAATTGCTTTTTAGTAATGTTTTTTTAATAGGTTTATATCATGAACTTTAAGCTCTTAATTTTAAGTTAGTTCCCGCCATGTTAATGGTTTCCATTTTTTTCTCGGTTCGTGGAATTTTAAATTATTTTTATAATTCTAAATTAATTTTGAAAAAAGTGATTTTTAATTTTGTGCCATCAAATAAGATTCTACGGAGACCAATGCATGTCATTTCAAAGTTAAAGGAAAGGTGGTAAGTACAACTTTTGTTATAAAAATGAGAATGGCTTTGATTGGGAAATGCAATAATTAATTAAATTGTAATTTAATATATTGTTTCAGATTTGGTTGCAAGTAGCAGTCACCTCAAGGTGAGTGGAAACGCAATTTTCATGATGAACTTATGAAAAAATCAAGCTAAATAGAAGCTGTAGCAGCAAAAGAGTATATGTTAAATAGGTTTGATGGAGGAGTCAGTAAAGGTGTTTTCAACCCTCGAAATTGGTATTGGCCAACAAATTCCACCATTTCATTTTCTCAACTAATTTTTCTTTAATCAGAATTGAAAATTATTGCAAAGGGATCCTTTGAAATTTAAATTTTATTAAAGAAACTTCATGACTATTTTATGCTTTTTTTAATAAAGAATGTCATTTAATGAACTTTTATAAAAAGTTATTTGCCATCTTTTATATCATTATTAACGTGAATAAATTCCATTTATTTTATTTAGAGTAAGTGAATAAAACCAATTGTGACTGTTCCAAAGTCTTGCATCGTCATCAAGTCCTTAAGAACTGTTTATATGTTTTTAACATAACTTCTTTTAAGTCTTTCTTTGCTCATTTAAACAACTTTGTCTGTACATTCAAAATTCATATTGAGCCTAAGTATTAGGCAAGGAGCACAAAACGTGTTTATACTTCCTACTATATTATGAAATAGTATCTGGATAGTGGAATGTATTAATAAATTTTGGGAATGACATTTATTTATAATACCTAAATACTAAATAATTCGGTACTTGTGAAAGGAAATTCCTGTTGATGAAGCAAGTCCTTAAAATGTCCACAAAAAATTATAAATAATATAAAATAGAAGGCTAATTTTATTCAACTACTCTTAATAAAATAAATCAAATTTATTCCTGTCAGTAATAAAATAAAATATGGCCAACAATAACTTGTTCTTTACTAGAGCCGACTAATTAACCTTTTGTTGGGATATTCTTGATATCATACTGAAGTTATATAAGCGTTTTCTGCAAAATGTGCCCATGGACTCATGAAATCTTATTGCAGTTACAGCCTCAATTTAAATATTTCGTGGCAGGCCCACAAAATCTCGACCTTCCCATCCTGGCTACATTCACATACATACATATTCTGCGTAATAACCCACAAGCGAATTTAGGCCTCCTCGATCAGCCTCCACCAGACAGCTCTGTTTTTTGCTGCTGCAGTCCAGTTCCTGATGTTCAGCAGGTTCCTCGCATCCACTTTCACACCATCTAGCCATCTTGTTCTGGGCCACTCTACTCTCCTAGTTCAGTGCACTTCTTCTGTCATTACCTTTCTTGGGATCTTGGAGTTACCCATTCGGGCCACATGACCGGCCCAACAGAGTTGTCCTAGCTTCATAACCCGTACGATTTTGGCGTTCTTAAAGGCATTATAGCGCTCCCCATTCTTTCTTTTCGTCCAGATCTTTCCCTCTCTTTCTGCTCCGAATATTCTCCTGAGCACCTGTCTCTCAAAAATCAGTAATGTGTTCTTGTCCGCCTTGGTGGTTGCCTAGTCCTCTGATCCATAGATGAGCACTGGACCGACCAGGGTCTTGTAAAGTTTGGTTTTTGTACTGGAGCTTTGATTTTTACGTTTCTAGAACCGTTTTCCCAGAAATGGTGAGGTAGGAAGTAATAAAAAAAAAAAGAAGAAAAAAAGGCTTAATTCTCACATTAATGTTTTCAGCTCCTTCAGATTTTTTCAATTTTAATTTCTTTATTGGCATTTTAAAAAACATATATAATCTTATTGATTATGACTGTGTCATATGTTGTGGTATATTGATATTCCTTGAGGACAAAATAAAGGTACTTAAAGATGTTTAATACCAACAATAAACCTATCAATATTAACAACTTTTTCACAAAATTTTTGTTTATATTTGTTTATTTTATTTTGTATTTTAACCAAGTTAGAACAGGAGAGGGGCTGTGCCAACTTGTCCCCTCGATACGCCCATATTCCTTCCCATTTTATCATATTCTGCAATTTCTCATTTTTCTTCCCTACGTTCATTCACTTCTCTTTTTCTCAACAAAGTTCAGACAAACATCTCTAATTAGATAATTTTTAATGTGATAAGAATTTCTATTTATATAAATATACTTCATTTATTGATTATTTTAACACTAAATTGAATTAAAAAAAAAAAGAACTAATTTTTCTATTCTACTCTAATTAATAAATATTACCGACTAAGCAACATAACTAGTTTTAAAAGAAAATATATTTTCTATAAGTTAGCAGAAAAAAAAACAAAAAAACATTTGTACTTGTTAGACGAAGTACAAAGTACATGTTTTGAAGTTGTTTATCCAAATATAAAAAGGGCATGTGTGCACAAAAAAAATAAAATCAGTTTTTATATTATATATTTAGATGAATTGACTCAACTTTTACATCATTTCTCTTGGAAGGCTCAAGTTATGTTTTTATCTAAAGAGAACAATTATATTAACAATTATTAATCTATTTTTCAATCTACATACTTTTTAACTCTCTACATATCTTTTATTAATTCAAACATTTTAATAAGCTAATGTTAATGAACCTTTTAATAAGAAATGTTTACCCACAAAATGAATAAATAACTTGGAAATACTTTTGTATCTTTAAGCTGTAGAAACAAATTATTTACCTCATCAATAAGAAGGACATGTGTAACTTGAAATTAATAAAAAAAATTGTCGTGTGGATTTGTTTCAAAAAGTTATTAATTAGTTAGGTTTATTTCATAAAATTAAATCACTCTTGATTTTCTCTCTGTGAAGGACATTTAGCACTTAATGGTTGTACAAGGAGGTGATTGGGCCAAGATCACACACAACCACATGTTTTTCTTCTTAATTAATTATTTAATTAAGATTACCTACTTTATAGAGGCTGTGTGTGCTCTAGGAGGAAGTAACATAATGAATAATTAACTGCTATAGCCAGACTTAAACCTGATACCTTCAGCATTGATATTCAATGCCTTACTCACTGAAATACCCTGCTTCTGGGCAATGACGTCATCTCCCTTCTAAAAAAATTAAATTTGTTTCTTGAGCTGTTTATATGAGCCTTTTGGTTGACAGAATGACTTATTCCAATTTCAACTTTTTTTAGTAAAGTCATTTTAGTGATATATCTAGTTGGAAAATTTATAATATCTGTACTTACAGTGAGTAAGTTGATTCCAGAGTAGATGATTGCAGTGTTGAAATATAGAATAAAAGTATACATTTTCCCACTAGAAATATCACTAAAATTAATAATAAAAAATGTTGAAATTGGAGTTAGCCATCCTGCCAACTGGAAGGCTCATATTATATAATATCTGAATTTTGTTTCATTCAAAATTTCTGTAATACAGTTGCTTTATTGGTTGGCTAAAATTAATTATTTTAATTGGTTTTGTATTTCTAACAAGTGGTAAGCATTACTGAAGATCGGCCAGCGCCCCAACCGGCTCTCGTACGGGTCGCTGCCACACCCTAAGGCTGGCACAGTATATCAAAACTGTCACAGCATTAAAATTGTTATTTTATATTTTACAATTTTAGTTAAAATAGGATTTTCTGTAGAATCTTACTACCATAAAAACAAAAATAAAATACCATGGGTGATAAATATTAAAGATACAGTCATTATAATGTTTTTATTATAATAAAAACATATTCCCTGAATATTACTCACCCTTGATATTTTATTTTTATGGTGTTAAGATTTTTTATGATAATAAAAACTTTATGATAACTGCGTCCTGAATATTTATCACCCATGATATTTTATTTTTCCATAAACCTATAGTCGACTAACTTCCTTCAAAAATAAAATATATGTATTGATTGTTTATGAAATATTTCTTTTATAAATAAAATTGATTATATAAAATAAAACTGGTTATATAAAAGTTATATTAATAGAGATACTAATAAAAGTTAGAATAGTTACTATAAAGAATAGTTTTTATTTTCAACTAATGTGTGTATGAAGTTTTGCTGGATACCGTATGTGCTTTTCTAATAGTAAGATCCTTAACTGATTCTTATTTATGAGTTCTAAGACTTGTTATTCAACTTATTATTGCTATACTTTTAATTTAGTCGTTATAAAGAAAGCAATAAACTAAAAAATCAGTTTACGTTTTTATAAGGCT